TTGTCGTGATGACACCCTCCTCCCGCGTAGTTGGCGCAAAAGTAGGAGAGATTCTGCCACACCCATGCCTTGGCCTCGCCGTAGCTCTCCAGGCGCAAGAACATTGTCGCATCGAGCAACTCCCTCCATGCCCTCGGCCGCCCCCGCCCGTGCTCACGCGCACCTTCGCCTCACCGGCCCTGCCACTAATGTTGTCACCGACGATGAGGAGGAAAGGGAGAGAATAGGGGAAAAGGAGGGAGTGATGGCATGAGTCCATTGCAATTTTTGTTATTTTTAACCAAACACTCATTAACATGTGAATCTCTTTTTTTTCTGTTTTAAGTGCCACATCAACACCATGTATGTGCCACGTCAGTCGAGACCGTTGTCCAAACCGTCTTGGGATTTTATTTTCACTAGTTTTAGGAGTTGTTGGGATTTTATTTTCACTAGTTTTAGGAGTTGAGAGACACATCATATATGGTATTGCAATTCAGGGATGAATATCGGACTAGGCGACAAATTGAGGGATCTGAAGTGAACTTAATCCTTGTTATTATGATCTAAATTTGCTATTGAGCTATTGGCCTGCGATCCGACGCACTTGTCATTCTGAAAAAAAAAAGAAAATAAAAGAGACTATAATACATATGGATATCGTAATGTTAATGGATGGAGTCATATATACCTAGCATTCAATAACCGTACCAAGGTAAGACAAACTTTTTTTCTTCCGTGCTTACCAAGTGAATACTTTTTTATATGGTAAAAGAGGTTCCATAACTTCGTTAACTTTTGCCCTAGTCCAATTGATGCCCCACAAATGAAAGACAAAAACATTTTATATACGGAAACTCTTCAAACCGGATGAATTTACCCTAGTCCCTCCCCACTCAAACCTATCTTAAGGCGGTATCAGTCCTATATACGCACATTTGACGGTGGTTTGGCCTCATGCTAATCCAGTTAACAAGTTGAGAAAATAAATTTTCAAAAAACATACATGCTTCTTACTTGTCATGCTTCATTTACCATCTCCTCCCTCCCCAGCATGCGACCTGCCATGTGGCACTGCTTAAGAGAAGGGATGGACCTCCACGACCATGAGTGCTCAAGGCCATTATCAAGCTCTCCAACAAGCTCGCCGATCCACTAGTGTCCTTCGTGGGCTCGTCAACTACTCCGTCCGCTAAAAAAAATACTTAATTCTAAAATTAAACCTGGACACATATACACATGTATATCCAGATTTAAATCTAGGATTGGTTTTTTTTGAATGTATGGAGTACATCCTTTGTAGATGAGGACGCAGGGATTGGGGGATGGAGTCATGAAAGTTTTTGTTCATCACAACTCGAACTGATGCTAGAGCTCGATCGAGGAGGTGGCACAACGATGCCAATAATGATAGGTTATGTGATGAGGGTATAGTTGGGAGGAGGCTCACGCTGCCGTTGTCCTTTTTCACGAACGCGTAAAAGAATTGCACGCTACTATATTAGAAGAAGAAAAAATTGATTTTTACAACGCAACAGCCGAAGGCCATTGCCGGGGATAGGGAACAAAGAAAAAGGAAAAACAAAAGTAAAAAATGATTGCTATGAAAAAAACTCTCCTAAACCGAGGGAGGGGGAGAAGCCCCACTAAACTCCCAATAGGCTTTTATTGTTATCCTTTGGCTCGCCCTCTCTCTATTTGCGCCTAGGCCACCGTCCATCGGCATCTCCTACCCCTTCTCATTATTAGCAATGTCGAGTTGGTGGCATATATGGGCTCGGAGGTATAATTAGAGCGGATTTCTTAATATATTTATCGTTACTCCTACTTGATATGATTATGATAGTGATCACATCCTTGACTTAGCTAGCAACAAATCTCCATGAACCATGAACTACCTAAGATAAGCATCTTCTTCCATATCTACTTGGATAAGAGCGAAATGGCTCGTATGCAGCTAGCTGTGCGACTCAAATTGATCGATTAAACTAGCTGTGGTGTGCAAAGAATGGCCGAATTAGTTGGCGATATGATATATGTTACGATCTGAAATTGACCTTTCACCAGAACAGAGTTGTATGTTGCATCCAACGATCCCAAGCATCGACAATTAATCCATACCGGCACATATGTGTAGCTATCAGTTTTGGGTGCTTATGATTCTTTATTTTTTGAGATTTTGGTGTGGTTGCAACTTGCAAATTTGTAAGTCTAAATTTTTTTCTTGTAAGTACACAAGTAGCAACCACAAGCATACAAACAACGTGTCACCACTGAAAACCAGAAACCGAAATTGATGTTTTAATATCAAATGTGGAACACTATATGAAGTTGAAATCATATCGTATTTGCTGTCACAACTGATAGTCCCTCACAAAAGGCAACTTTTGTATGATTGTATCACTACGAAAACTGCTATACACGCGGCAACAAATTAAAACAAAAATGCTTGGTTTAGTAAATTGTTTCGTCACCAAGTGCCACAATTTGTGCCTATAAACCAATTCACTCGCCTCGTTTCAAAATATTTTTAAAAAAATCACTCGTCATTCATATGAAAATTTAGGGCATATTTACTTTGATGCCATTTTCAACCATACTATTTTTTAGCAAAGTTGTCAAAAAAAAACATACGTTTAAATTGTTGTCAAATTTGGTTAATACATAAGAAATCATGCCAAAATTTTAGCAATATTATCATCTGAACAACCCCTTAGCATTCATTCAAGAGGAAATTTTAACATTTATTTTTTGGGAACATACGCAAATGATAAGTACTAGTACTATAATAATAAAAATCAAAGCTTAATTTTATCCTCTCTTTTTCTATCATCCTCAGTTGACCATGAACCACTCGTGCTGTTGAAGGTTGGCATGTCCCAGTCTCTCTCTTCACAGACAGCCGTTCAGATGACGTATCCGTGACGTCACCAGACATGGCAAGTGGGCCCCACCCACCTACCGCGATGGGCCCGGCCACCAACCCCGGAGTCGTTCTCTGCAACTTTTCTCCCCTCCCGGTTAGTCCACTCAGCCACTGGCACAGTGCCACGTCACCTCGCTTCGCATGCGAAGCACGCGTGCCTTGCGTGCCTCCTCCTTTTCTCCAAACGAGATCTTCTACAAGGACATGATGGCTACTGTTTGTGAGGTAAAATTAATCACTGCAAAATCATCCATAAATCCACGACTAATCCACGATAGGTGTGACAGTTTAGAGGGGAAGTAGTCAAGCTACTAACTAAAGTCGCTTTTTCATGGTTATGTTTGTTCTGACTTTCGAGCATTTTGAATTTTCGATTTGTAGGTGTGAGCAAGAGAGAGATTTGTGACTCAATCTGTATTTTATTTTTGTCCTGTAGCTCACTATATAAGGTTGAGACTAATAGCACGGAGATAATATCAGGAGTAATAGTCAAGCATACAAATGGTGTAGGGCGACTTATTTGGTTACACCCTATTAATAAATATGATATTGTTTTTATTTTATAGGAGTTTACCCTATGGTAACAAGGTTATGTTCTTTTCTGCTTATTAATCAGATTATTAAATCGAATTATTTGCTCCGTGTTCTGAAAAATATGCTTTGTATACAACTTGTTTAAGCTATTTGTAAAGTTACTTTTACAAAATATAGTTTATTTTGTAGTCAAATTGATAATCTGCTCAAAAAATCTAAATTAAATTGCACCTCTATATAGAGTATATCCATGCTTTTGTATAAAGGGAATCTGTTAGGGTTATGGATACCACATACCTAATAGTAGTTGACTAAATCTCGGCATGACCCACCACATACCATGTCTTATACGGGAACTGACTTCGGATATGAAGGGAGTTCCGGATAAGAAAAAACAACCAAAGTTCTACATGGAAACGACAAGAACTACTCGGATTGTATCCATATTGGTTTCCCTAGTTCTACTTGGACAAGGGGACACCTATGGGTATAAATACAAGGCCTCCTAGGAGGAGAGGGGACACGGAACAATAGATCAAGACAGAAGATCAACATACAAGCCAATATACGCCAAGACAAGATGCCAGATATCGACTTCAGAGATAGGCATAGCTAGTCCCCTAGGTACCTATGGCTACTGTTAGGAGAGATATAGCGCTGTCTCTGATCTCGTTGGATGCGGATTCGAGGAGGAAGGCTACCCTGTTGTCGACTATGAGTAAGAACTTCAGACCGCCATGTCGACAACAGTTAGATAGGCTACCCCAATATTTGTACTGGTGTGATTATGGTGAATAAGAGCAACGACCGGCTTCGGCCAACAGGTTGTAGGGCTATTACCTGACAATTCAGGGGCCCGAACCTGTATAAAAATCTGTTTCCGTCTCTTTTACCTAAGTCTCGCGTATATCCTAGTATCAAAGATCCCCATACTATGCAAATACCGGAATCGCGACATCAAATGTCGACAGAATCCAAATATGAAAAGGATAGTGAACGTAATAACCGAGTACTCGATTAAATCTTATTCAGTACTACGAATCTAGATAAAGTCAATTAGACACCACTTAATAGACTACGAACCAGGACATGTTTCAGTACTACGAATTACGAATTTATGGTACTAAATGGTATCTAACCCAGTATGATAGCTTACTATATTTTGATACGGATAAAGTAGTTGAATAGGTAATTAATCATTTTAACATTAATAATGAGGGAATAAAACATTATGAAGGAGCTGATATAGCTACTCCATCCATACTCGTACGCACCAGCTAATTAACCACTTCCCAACCTTGGTAGGAAAACCTACGCGACCAAACATTTCCACTACTTGTCCTACTACTAACATTTTTGTTCCCATTTCGATACCCACTTTGGCACTTTCCCCTTCAATTTAAAAACTGTCTTGCACGAAAACAAAAAAAAAAACAAAAACGAATCAAATTGAGGCCGTGTGGCCACAGAAGATCCTGGCACGATCTCCGAGGCAGCCAGCCTTCACCAACCCCTCTTCCCCCTCTCAGTCACGACCCGTCCAACGCGATGTTTTCCTTTAATTATATATACTCGCTGCGGGACGCACCACCCCCTCTCCAGAATTCAGCGAGAGAGAGCGAATCAGCCACTGCACTTCTTGTTCTTGTTCTCTTCCTCCTCCCGAATCCGATCCATCCATTGGCCGCCGCCGCCGCCGCCGCCTCGTGCGTCGCGTGTTCGTGTCCAGAGACGATGGGCAGCCTCGCCGCCGAGAAGACCGTCACCGGGTGGGCCGCCAGGGACGCCTCCGGCCACCTCACCCCCTACAACTACACCCTCAGGTATGATATGATATGATCGATCACCCTCTCCTTCTCGATCTTGTTCTTGCAAGTTTTGCTTAAGGTCGGTAGAAACGGAGGGATTAGGTTTTAGTTTCTCTTTTGTCTCAATTCTGAAACTCTGGTACATGCGTTCTACTACAGTTTAGTTGTTCAGATGGTTCGTTTCTGAATTTCTGAAAACTGATGGCGTTCCAGTGCTTTAGTTGTTTAGATGCCCCCGTGTTTTAATTTGTTTGTGTTCATGTCATCTGCCTCGAGTACAACTCAGATTGTTTCTGCCTCTTGGCCAAAGTGTGAAGAGGTGAAGAGAGCAATTGGATTTCTTTTTTCTTTTTTGGGCTCCTCCATTCGATCCATTCCACACTTCCCACGTGAGTTTGACTCTATTTTGTATTCCTGCTCCTCTCCTAGTATAAGTCCAACATGAAGAGTATAGTGGTGTAGTACTAGTGTACTACCAAAACTGCTTCACCTACCGCCAATTGGCTATTGCAATCATCGTCACGTCTTGGTTTTGTTGGGTGAAAGGAACAGAATCCCTGAATCCGGAGCAGTTGTGGCAAACAGACAGAATGCATGGAGTTCTTTTTGGCTAGTTGCCTGGCTCCACATATATATATTTTCAGAAGCATTCTTTATAATTTTCTAATATATATATTTGCTATGCAATTCTCGTGCCATGCCTCCTTAAAGAAAAGGAGGATTATATATATATCAATAATTTCCTTGAGTTGTCTTCTTGTAGAATGGAATAACTGAAGAAGCATCTTATGCAACAGATCAACTAATGTTCTTTTTTTTTCCTGTATGTGGTGGTACCAGGAAGACTGGGCCTGAAGATGTGGTGGTGAAGGTTTTGTATTGTGGTATCTGCCATACTGACATCCACCAGGCCAAGAACCACCTTGGTGCTTCCAAGTACCCCATGGTCCCTGGGTAAGATTATTCACAGTTATCTAGATGGATCATGGCTCATGTCAATGGAGATCTTCTACTAGCAATTGATTTGATGGTGTATTCTATAGTAGACTGAAGATAAACTTATTAACTGATTGGGATAACAAACATATCAGAAAAGAGTAGGCACTAGTAACTAGCAAATCTGGTCAGTGCTTTTTTCAGATTTACAAAAGGCATAGATGCACATGCACCACTATATCACACTCCTTTGGAACAGAAAGATAAGTTAGTGCATCGCTTTTAGCATTTTTCTTTTTTGATCAACACCTTTCATGACAGGTATAGTACAGATTAGATGCACCATCAGTTTCAGAGACACGTGTAAAGAAAACCTCAGCGAGAACCTTCCCTGATCTGATGGGCTTTAAATAAGCACACGATAGATCCCCAACACCAGGCTGAAAAATGATGCCTAATTAGTAGTAATTTAGTACTACTACACCATCTGCATGTCGTACTAAGTATGCAACAATAATTGGTTGGATTAATTAGTTGGTGACCAAGAATTCCTTTTTCCAGTACACTTCCATTGTCGTACCAATATTCAGTCATGTGTTGGATTTTGTCGGTGACCAAGAAAATTCTCTCCTCTTCTCGTCTGCAGCCATGAGGTGGTCGGCGAGGTGGTGGAGGTCGGGCCGGAGGTGACCAAGTACAGCGCCGGCGACGTCGTCGGCGTCGGCGTCATCGTCGGCTGCTGCCGCGAGTGCCATCCGTGCAAGGCCAATGTGGAGCAGTACTGCAACAAGAGGATTTGGTCCTACAACGACGTCTACACCGACGGCCGGCCAACCCAGGGCGGCTTCGCCTCCGCCATGGTCGTCGACCAGAAGTGAGTGCTAAACACAGCTTTACTCCAACAAGTAATCACCAACCAACTGATCACGATATCATTATCATATTATCATATTGTCAGTGTTCTAGGTAGAGAAAACTAGACTGGACTTTTCCGAACATCCAAAGTAAAGTCCAGTCTGTTAGAAAATTTTGTGGAGAAAATGTCATCTGAGACTGAAAGAGATGTCGAGAAGTCGGTACTGTGTTGAGTGTAAAGTGAGAAGTCACCAAAGTTAGGTATAAAGTGTTGATTAACTGATAAGTCCTCACCTACCCCGGTCCATTAGTCCATTTGTTGTTGGAAGAATTGCTTCTTGAACAGAGCAAAAGTTGGATTGTTGCATAGCGTCGTTGTAGTCAGTTGGTAAACTAGCAGAGACAGTGAAATGTTGGGCTCATTTTGTTTGGTGCGCTACCAAATCATTGGTAGCGTCAAATCATGGTCAAGATTTGGCACTACCAATATTTTAGTATAGTTGGTTTATAAGAGCAAGTTCAATAGTAAAGTTAACTGCCGGCTCCAAAATTCACCACATTATTTAAGAGATAACTAAACAATGGTAGATACAGTAATTGGCTACACCCATGCTTTAACCAAGGCATCCTGTCAGGTGTTGGTAACTTCTGCATGTTCAAGTTCTAATTTTCGATTGGTTGTCCCGAGCTGCAGGGGGCCAGAGCGCCTAGGCGCTCGTGCTTGAGCCGGTGACTGGATTGTCGTCCGCTTTGCTCTCTCTGCTTTCCCTCTCTCTATCATATATGTTAAAATATTAGGTAAGCAGGCTATTAGCCTGCTATTGTACCTGCTCTAAGAGTTGTATTACCTTTGGTAAATTTTGACATCATTACAAACATATACATGGTACTATTTAAAGTGCCAACTATTTGATAGGGCAAATTCTGGCATCAAACCAAAACATCCCGTGATTTTTGATCCACCTGCCTAATCTGAAAGTTGTCACGTCTTAAAAAGATTAAAATATTTGGTTAGTGAGATGGTAAGAAACTAGTAAAAAAAGTAATGAATTTGTGTGCAGGTTTGTGGTGAAGATCCCGGCGGGGCTAGCGCCGGAGCAGGCGGCGCCGCTGCTGTGCGCCGGGCTGACGGTGTACAGCCCACTGAAGCACTTCGGGCTGATGTCGCCAGGTCTCCGCGGCGGCGTCCTGGGGCTCGGCGGCGTGGGGCACATGGGCGTGAAGGTGGCCAAGTCGATGGGGCACCACGTGACGGTGATCAGCTCGTCGGCGAGGAAGCGCGGCGAGGCCATGGACGACCTGGGCGCCGACGCCTACCTCGTCAGCTCCGACGCGGCGGCGATGGCGGCCGCCGGCGACTCGCTGGACTACATCATCGACACCGTGCCGGTGCACCACCCGCTGGAGCCGTACCTGGCGCTGCTGAAGCTGGACGGGAAGCTGATCCTGATGGGGGTGATCAACCAGCCGCTGAGCTTCATCTCGCCCATGGTGATGCTCGGCCGGAAGGCCATCACCGGCAGCTTCATCGGGAGCATGGCCGAGACGGAGGAGGTGCTCAACTTCTGCGTCGACAAGGGGCTCACCTCCCAGATCGAGGTCGTCAAGATGGACTACGTCAACCAGGCCCTCGAGCGCCTCGAGCGCAACGACGTCCGCTACCGCTTCGTCGTCGACGTCGCCGGCAGCAACATCGACGACGCCGACGCGCCGCCCGCCTGATCGCCGCCGTGCACCCTCATGGCAGCATCCGTATGATCCGTTCTTGAACTTGTTTGTGTGAGACTCTGACGACTTGTCCATGTAACGTCCGTGTGCCTTTCCGGTATAAATTCGGCCTCGCAATATATGGACCATTTTGCATTTCCGATCAAAATCATGCTTGCGTTTCACTTGCATTGGGCTTAAGATCAGTGGGCTCATCTGGCCAATTTGGGCCGGGCCTGAACTGTCGATGGGTGAGAATTACCGAGGCCTATGTTGCCTCCTGCAGAGACACCAGACTACCAACCATCACCGGCAAAAACGGCCTCAACAAACAAGCATCTGCTTTCAAGCTGCTGAACAAATTGCAGATTTGCAATTAACTTGCTAGTAGTACTACTACTAGTAGTGCTGCTGCTGCTGCTGCAGCAACAGTGTCAGGAATCCTTTAAGCTACTGTTCTGCACAGGAAAGGGATGTTTGGGGGGAGCAGCTGGTCAGGTCAGCTGTGTACAGCTAGCTTCATCACTTGCTGGTATAAATACCGCCAACCGTGAACTGTCACAGCTCACTCCTACTACTACTCGTCCTGCACTCGATTTACTACGAGCCAGCTCATATTGGCTCCCTGCTCCTCTGGCCGCTGCGGCCGAATTACTTCGTTGTACCGTGCGCTGCACCAACGATCGATTCGAATGGTCAACAGTACACAACCGTTTTGCTGGACAGTACAGCTCACTACAGTAGAAATCAATTTCCTTTGGGCATTGAATTGTCTCGTATTACTATGAGACTCATACGCCCATTTTCTTTGGGAATAGGAATGAATTAGCTTAGCAAAAGAGTTCTACTCGGAGTATAAATCAATTCATCATTCTCTACACACGTGACACATAGACTGATGGAAAGAGACAATGAGATCGGAATCCATCCATTCTATACGCACATAGAGTTGATAGAGACAAATGCCCAACGGTTAAACGACGCAAAGCGGCCAATAAGAAACAAGTTCTTACGGTTCTGAGGAATATAAGTACTTTCAGATTCTCAGAAAATTCCTATACATTCGAAACAAAGGCTTTTTTTTTTCCAAAAAGAAAAGATCATCGGTTATTTACAGCTCGAGTACGGCCATATAGCTCCAAAATAAAAATATTTAACTATTTAAAGTGGCAATTAAAGATTACCCATATGTTATAGATTGTGGTTGGTAAATCCTTAATTGCCACATTTAAAAGTTAGATGCTCTGAAATGTCCAATATGCGTACTGCTAGTACAGCATGCTGCTACTACTATCACTTTCAACTCGCACATCTGATCGATGCCCAAGTAGTCTTCGACTCTTCGTTGCACGGACGGTTCAAAGGGAAGGAGAAACCTGTCGCTACATCTCACCATCACCTCGTTCCTGTACAGAAAACGGCCAACCTGTCCGTGATGCTGCTGCTGTGCTGGTAGTAGCAATGCACTAGCATTTCGCTTCTGATTTTTTTTTTACCTCCCCTTCACCGCTGCTCTGTTTCAGAGCAGCAGAAGAATTTTACTCAAAGTAAAATACAAAGATGAACCAGGAAAATTCTAGTGCTAATAATACTACACAGATCTCATAATTAACAGGTGGTTTTTCACCGTGCATTTGTGGTGAATTTGAACCGGGATGGTTGATTTTTTTTTTATTTTTGGGGGGTTTTATTGGCGGGTCACGACGCCGACCCTCTCGGCGGCGGCGCGCATGACGCCGTCGACGAGCTGCGGCATGAAGGACTCGGCCACGGCGCCCGGGCCGCAGCCGGCGCGGAGCCCGACGCCGGCCATGTAGTTGCGGACTTCCGTGCGGATCATCTCCTGCATCGCGGAGACGAGATCGGCGTTGAACGGGTATGCGGATGGAGATGCTGCCGGCGGCGACGGCGGCGGCGAAGGGGAGCGGGAGGGGGAGGGGAGCTCCTGGAAGTGGCTCCGCGCGCTGTCGTGGTGGAACCCCGGGAGGGAGAGGGAGAGGGACAGCGAGGTGAGCGGGTCGTCGTCGCCGTCGTCGTCGTTGTCGTCCCGCCGCCGCGGCGGCCGCACGACGTCCGCCGCGCTGATGGCGTCGAAGCCGCCGGGGCGCGGCACGGGGCGGAACACCTGCCCGCCGCCGCTTCCGCTTCCGCAGCCGCCGTGGCTGAGCTCGCTGCGCTCCGATCCCGTCGGGCTCCCCGGCCCGGGGCTCACGCGCTTACACGGCCGGTCGATCTCGCCGCCGTCCGTGGCGGTGGCGAGCTTGCGCTTGAGGGAGGAGTTCCAGTGGTTCTTGACGGCGTTGTCGGTGCGGCCGGGGAGGAGGCGCGCGATGGCGGCCCAGCGGTTGCCGAGGCGGGCGTGCGCCCGGAGTATCGCGGCGTCCTCCTCCGCCGTGAACGGGCGGCGCTCCACCTGCGGCGACAGCTGGTTGCACCACCGCAGCCTGCACGACTTCCCCGACCTCCCCGGGATCCCCCTCCCGATCGCCGTCCAGTTCCTCGCCCCGTGCCGCTCCACCAGCCGCCGCAGCGCCTCGTCCTCCTCAGGGCTCCATGGCCCCTTTATCCTATCGCACTCCGCCTCCATCCCCATCGAATCAACCTCCTCCTCCTCCTTCCTCGAGCTGCTCTAATGGCGATGTGGACGTGTCGGACTCGATGGCGAGAGGAAGAGGGAGAGGGGATTATATAGGCGGTGGGGGGAAGGAGACGGTGGCATACAGCTGGCGAGGCGCGTCATTTTCGGTACCTGGATGGCGGGTGGGGACAAGAGGTTTGGTGGGTCCCACGTGTCAGGGAGCTCCACGCGGTCCTCCTCGAGCTGGAGTAGTGTGGACGAAGGCCGTTTTGGTTTGGTTTGTTACACGGGGGCCGGCGGGTCCCTGTGCCGTTTGAAATTTGAATAATCCTTCTCATTCCGTACAGTCAAACACACACAGAGAGGAAAAAAAATAAAATCCGTTGAAAACTCAATTATGAAAGTGTTGGAGCGGTTAACCCAAGACGAGAACGGTGTCTCCATCCATTTTATTTTTCAGTTTATAGTGCCAAAATAATTTTACTACTCATGAGCTGCCAACAAAATCTATTATATTATTAAAGTAATAGAAAAAGTAGCTCCCACGTTCGTTCTCATGGCCTAGAAATTCTTACATTAATCGGAGAAAAAGAAAAAACAGAGTCCATATAGAAATACAATTTAGAAATAGTTAAAATTCGGAATTAAAAAATAAGTAACATTAGAAGAGAAAACTAGAGTCCATATAGAAATACAATTTAGAAATAGCTCAAATTCGGAATTAAAAAAAATAAGGAATATTAGAAGAGGAGACTAAGTCCATATAGAAATATAATTAGGAAATAACTGAAATTCGGAATTAAAAATAAGGAATATTAGAAGTAGAGTATAGAGTCCATATAGAAATACAATTAGAAAATAACTGAAATTCGGAATTAAAAATAAGGAATATTAGAAATAGAGTATAGAGTACGTATAGGAATTTAAAACTAACTAAAATTTGGAATGAACATAATAAAATTAAAAGTAGAGTTTAGAGTCCGTATAAAAATACAATTTACAAATAACTAAAATTCGAAATTAAGAAAAACATGGGAAGAAGAGTTTAAAGTCAATATAGGAATACAATTTAGAAGTAACTGAAATTCGAAACTAAAAATTAAAGAATATTGAAAGATGAGTTTAGAGTCCACATATAAATACAATTAGAAATAATAAAAATTCAGAAATAAAATTAAATAATACTGGAAGAAAAGCATAGAGTCTATATAGAAATACAATTTACAGAAAATGCGAAATTAAAAAAATGAAATATTAAAAGACGAGTCTAAAGTCTATATAGGAATATATAATTTACAAATAACTAAAATTTGATATTAAAAATAATTAATAACTAACAGGTATATAAAATATAATATGAATATTACACATTAGTAGTTTTGTAAAGTTATTGCAAAAATTAAAATTATGTTATCATTTTAATATATTTGAATAATATAATGAGAAAACATATATGCTATTATATGAGAGAAAATATAATGATGCTAGCCGCGCAATCTGCGCGGGCCATCATACTAGTTTACATTTTAAAACCGGATTTCGTACATACTTCCTCCGTTTCATATTATAAGACTTTCTAACATTGATAACATTCACAGAAAGTGAATGTTATCAATGTTAGAAAGTCTTATAATCTGAAACGGAGAAAGTACTTCATATTTATATTTTCGTTATGCTAATTTTCTTTTTCATCACTGTCTTTAGATTCACAGCACTAAATGTATTACATCTCATACTAAATTATTGTATTTTAAAATAAAAACAGTATAGATATTTTGCAAAGAGAATGTGAAAAGAGAGCGGCGGTGGCGACAACGACGACGAGCTTATCCATCCGCTAGGTTGGGAAGGAGAAAACTCGGGTGGATGATAGATCGACCTATCATCCATCTATCCAGCCATGCATGCAAGCGTGCATGAGTGCATCCATCCATCCATCCATCCCCCTTGGTGTTGGAAGTGGGCATTTGGGAAGGCGACGGGGGTTGGGGTTTGTTTGGTTGCAATCGCGAAAGCCGAAGGCGTAGCCCGCGCCGGAGCCCATCCCCCCATCACCCCGCCGAATTCAATCGCAACCGTCCAACCCGCCGCCGGGCCCCGCCCGTACCGTGTGTGTACAAGCCGGACTGTACGACCGGCAGTTTGCTCGCCCACACACCCCCCGCGCCGACGGGAAGACCCAACGCCACTGACGCGTGGGCCCCAGCACGACACCGACCCCACCTGGCAGCGATAGGAGAAGGGTGTATCGTTAGCCCGTGCGGAAAACGACAGGGGCGCCAGGCTGGAGCGCAAAATCGTGGCTGGTAGATAAAAACCGGCGCGATTTCGTGGGGAGGGGAGGGACGCATGGCGCGGCAGTTTATGGGCACAGCTCAGCACTACCCGCAGCGCAGGTGTCTCCCCGTCGATCTATACGTTCTCTATTGCTCCTTCCCAAAATAAATTTATTTATAATCGTCTGTATTCAATATTTAATTATCGATATTATGTAAAACTTTTATATGATTAGTACCAGATGATAAAACATAAATAGTAATTATCGATATTAATGATCGAGCCCACAAATAAACCTACGTATTTTGGAAGAGAGGGTGTAGTGTACTGCTATCGTACACAACCACCTGTGGGCCCCACACCCAGGCACTCATACTGCTACTGCTGCTGTGCGTCGACGCGTATGCGGGGAGAGGAAAACGACGAAGGCGCAAGGAAAGCGAGAGTGTGTGAGTGTGGAGAAAGGAAGTCAGAGGAGGAGGGGGAATCATGGCAGGGCGAAAGGGGACGTGGATCTGGGAGGCAGGGACAGGCTGGCGATGGCTTTAACGGCCTCCCACCGCACCGACACCGGGCCGGTACTGTACTGCGCTGTACCCCCCATCCAATCCAACTCCACGCAAGAGAAGAAAAAAAACGAAATTAGTGTTTGATTGAGTTATACTGTAGCTTACCGATCTCGGTTGTGTATGGCTGTGTTTAGTTCCACGCTAAAATTGAAAGTTTGAAGAAATTGAAACGATGTGACGGAAAAATTAAAAGTTTATGTGTGTAGGAAAGTTCGATGTAACTGAAAAATTGGAAGTTTGAAGAAAAAAGTTGGAATCTAAACACGCACGTGTTTAGTTCCAAAATATTTCTTCAAACTTCCAACTTTTCCATCACATCAAAACTTTCATACACACATAAACTTTCAACTTTTCCGTCAAATCGTTTCAATTTCAAATAAATTTTCAATTTTAGTGTGAACTAAACACGCCCATAAATTTGTGCGTGAGATCCAGGGGAGTACTATACAACCAGAGCAGCCACCCGTTTCGCAGCTTCCTTGCAACTTCCGGAGACCGGTTTGTTTTGTGATTTTTGCAGTAGCTAACCAACCAACCAACCAACCAACCAAAGCCGCGAATCGAATCTCACCGTTTTTTTGCTTCTCACTACAAGACGGACAGCCACGATCTCTGCAGATTTTTTGAAAGAAATGATTATGAGGTGAGTCGACCCGGTCTGTCTGCCTCCAATCCGTACGTGCCGGCACTCCACTGACGACTAGTCGTACTAGTACCAGCTCAACCACCCGCTGCCGATCTGCCGACGCCGCGGGATATTCTCGTTTTCTCTCGGGATTTCTCTCTCTCCCCGGCCGGGCTGGTGGTGTACGGGCGCGTCAGCGCGTGCGTGCGTGAACTGAACTGAACTGAACTGCGGTTGTGGAGTCTGCGGGAGCGGACGTGTTGGGCGTGGTCGGGCGGAGGGAGGGGTGCCGTGTGTGTGTCTGCCTGTGGTGGAGAGCGGAGAGATTCCGGCGCCCCCGCGAGCGGACAAACGGACACAGTAGAGTGCAGTTAGTAATATATTTGTTTAACATTTTTCTGGGTTAAAGTTTTTAGGTTTAACTAGGTTTATAGAAAAATTAGCAGCATCTACAACATCAAATTAGTTTTATTGAATTTAGTATCGAATATATTTTGATAATATGTTTGTTTTGTATTGAAAATATTAGTATATTTTTCTATAAACTTAGTCAAATTTAAAGGGACTAGCACTCATCTTTCTCAATCAATCATAATCTTTTACTATATTAATTCTTTATTTATTTTATTTTCTCAACTAATTATAACATCCTCTTATACGGCCTCATCGGTTGGCCAAATACTTTGGCTGATCAGCCAAAGCTACCTCCAATTCAGCCAAACTTCAATACAAATTGGTTAGCTTATTTTGCTTAAATGGCTTATCAGCCAAAGCATTTGCCATCCAATGAGGGCGATAATCTCCTTATGTACCTTTCTCTAACACCTTATATTTAAGAGTAGTACGTGTAGTACAATGAAATTTTGAATTTTAATTTAAACAACTGTTTGGATTGTCAAGGTGCATAATTGGAAGTGCATGCTAACAATAGACGGAGTAGTGCTACTACTATATAACCACTGCAAAATCGTTGGAGGCACCAAACAAGCAACAGTGCAACACATTTATGTGTACAAAGAGCAAACCCACAACCACTAGTATGTGTACGGACTCTTCCAATTATTTTTGACACGACGGACTCTTCAAAATTAAGTACTCCTAGATAAACTGGGTCATTTAGCAACATGTCAAGTTTCCTGATTCCTCAACACATACTCCTAGTACTGTAGTGGTACTAATTTTCTTTCGCTTTGGGGGGGGGGGGGGGGGGGCATCATGGGTTTCATTGATTTCTACTCTAGTGCGTGAGCGCAACCGCCGCTCGTGCTGCGCTGGGGAGGACACAGTCGCACGGGCGGGAGCAGGGCCCAGCCCATTCCATGGTCCACCCGTGCCGTAGCCTGCAGCCTGGTGAGCAGTGCCACCACCCAACAACTCGGCCCAACCTTAGCGATTGTACGCTCACAAATTCAACTCGTAAAGCCTGTGTGCTTACCGTACGTGTACCACCACCAGCTCCCCGGTGTACTGCTGTTCATGTGAACCTGCTGCTACTCAGCATCAAGCAAGATGAAATTTACGCAGTGAAAGCTAGATTTTTTTTAAATTTTGTCTGGACAAGAAACATACAGGCGGACGAGCGGTGCTACTCCTAGCGAATACCAAAGCCCGAAGCAGCAAATGAAGAGCAAGATGATCAACGGGAGCCCTTGCCTTTGGCATATGCGCTGATATGCTCACGCCGCAGCAGCTTCTGCTGGAGGGATGGCCACGGAGCGCAGCAACTCCAGGGAGCTCGCCAGGCCAAGGAAATGCGACAGGATGATGTTCGCTGAAGCCTGCGTATCATGATTGTTCAACATGATTAATGGCACTACAACGGGTCAGATCATAAACTGGAGTGTGCAATGATGACCAAAAACAACAATTCAGTAGTTCATTTTCCATCATAGCAAATGATAACATGGTTATAATATAAGTTTCTACTCAACATGGAAGAAGGATTATATGATTAAAAGCAGGGAAAGTTTGGAAATATTTAGGGTAGTTATATTTTGTTGTTATTCAGAGTGAGGCATAGTACGCTGGATTTATCTCGTTGCTATTACACATACATGATCCTTAACGTTAATAAAAATATATAGAATCAGACAAATCATTTAAAGTAGATGATAGTATAGAATATCATGTAAACATGAACCTCTCAGTGAGCGTTCTTTACCAAGATAAACAAATATATGTCGTTTAGGTTCCCCCTTGAAAGGCAAGATAGGAAAATTGTAGGAATAGGGCAAACGCAGGAATTGAATTAGTATGTTTTTTCAATCCTACAGGAATTGAGAGCACAAGAAGCCCTTTGATTGCACCACAGAAAAAACTCAACCAAAGGAAAGTTTTACAAGAGGTCTAACCTCTTGCTTATTTTCCTATGGAATTGACCATAGGAAAGCTATTCTATGGAAGTTTTCCTATCTTATGGAAGTTTTCCTATGGATCAAAGGGCTCTATAGGAAAATTCGTTAGGCAAATGAATCTTTGCCAATCCTCCATTTCAAAGGGGCCCTTAAAAAAACTGCAAGTGTACAAACGTATTACTTCCTAGTAGAAATGAGTTAAGTACTTGAAAACCAGCACCAGAATGTTGAATGCAGAAAAATGAGAGTGAACCATGGTGCTTATTTTCAACTGAAAATTTGGAGAGAAAATGGTTCAAGGGGAGAAAGGATATGTGCAAATCAAATACCTGAACTAGGAAAACATCTAGAGCCAAAACAGGACTTTGACCAGGGGAAGTTGCTTGATAGTAAGGTACTGCAGAGGTAGTAAGAGCCTTCGCTACCAAAGCCCCAACAGTTGCTTGCATGCCGAGAACTGCAGCACCCATCCCGAGCATATTGAGCACAATGCCATTTTTCAGACTTCTAATTACATCAGCACGTGGAGGAGCCTGGAAAGCAATTCACAGTTTTATTTTATTACCAAAAAGGCAAATAAGAAGAATATCAAACTTGCCGTACAAAATAACCACCTAAAATATATAACTCCAAAAGCAGACATATAACACACTTATGTGAAAGCACCAGTTCAGCCGTCCAATAGAAGTCAGACAAGTACGAAAATGAGTTAAGGGCAGTGTTGAGACATTATAAAACAGGGAATGGGGTTGAGAAAGAGAGTACCTTAGCAGGTTCACTTGCTGTTTTTCTAAGTCTTTCAGAAAGGCGGATGTAACCAAATGACCAGAAGACTGAAATAAAACCCGCGGCAATACCAGCAGCAGTTGCATAGAATGTAAAAGGTGCTGTCACCTTCCCAGTAATAACTGTAGAAAATGACAAAATTCCAGCGGAAACAACTGTGGACACCAACTGGGACCAGAACCCAAGAGTACCCAAATTCTTGAAATACCTCGCTGTTTTCCCCAGTCTCTTGACAACCTGCCATTTACTCCACGGAAATGGGCAAAAAAAAATGTCAATTAGGCTAAAACAAGCATATACAGAAGTTAAAAGGTGTGGCGTATACATTATTATGTAAAATTCTCAAGCATGAAGAAATAGCAAATTCCCAATCTTAAAAAAAAATATCATGAAGGTTAACCAACAAGGTCCATCAAGAATATTAAATATCTTTACAAACCAAATTGAGTATGGCATATCAAACTAAAAGGCAAAAAGATGGCCTTGGCGTAGCTTCATAATCAGGAAGGTATTCTGTTATACAAGTAGGAAGAAGTGGTGGTATGCTGGTATCAAAATTCGAAGTATGCCAATGATGCCGTGTCTTTAGGATAATAGAGTAACCAAAAGGTATAAATCATATCCTAGCGAAGAATGACACATTATATATTTATATTGTTTAACCAGATGCTTCACAAAGACTTCAATCAGAAAGCAATAGATGTGACAGGACACACGATAAGGAAAACTTAATGCAGCAAGGTTGATAAACTAACAGAAGTGAATCCAACAATTATGCGCGATTAACGTCATCACAATATACAGAAAAGAGAACGAGTCGCTTACAGACGATATCTCTAAAAAAATCATTACCTTCGCTTAATTGTAACAATTCCCTGTCTTAGAGACATCAGATTACTAATCGCTCGATGCCTGAACCCTAAACCTCATGATACCCAAATGCACATCGGAAAACACGCGACCACTACATAATCCAACACTAGATACATCCCCAATCCCCAAGTGGTACAGCAACATGAGTTTTCTCGAGAATATCAGCGAACACACGATTAACCCTACTTCAAGCAGAGGCACCTCTACCAGGCACAGACAGATCAAAGGGGGGTGCGGCATTAGCGAAGCACCTGCTCGAACTTGGCCCGCTCGATGTCCTGCTCGGTGGGGGGAGGCGTCGGGTAGAGAGGGCCCGACGACGACGACGACGACCCCGCCGCCGCCACGGTAAGGCGCCGCACAGCGCTCAGCACGCCGCCGCTGAGGCGCCCCGCAGGGAGGGGAGTGGGAGCGCGCGCGGAGGACGCAGAAGCCGCCCCCCGCCGCAAGAGCGTAGGCGGCGCCGCCGCCGACGGCCGCGCTGGGAGTAGGAGCGCCGCCTGCATCTCGCTGATTGTGATGCTGCTGTCCGCTTCCGCTGCGGCTACTGCTATTTTTTTCCAAAAAATGCGTAAAACCCCCTCAATTTTACGAGATTTTTTTTTACTGTGACTGGGCCAAGATTGCGGCCCATCGTGCTCGGACATTATTTCTTTTGAGAAAGGTAAATTCCATAAAAACTACGTGTACTTTGGTTAAATTATTATAGAACTACGTATTTAATAGGATGTATCATAAAATTAAATTTATCATAGAACAACGAATTTAAAATGAAATATAGTAAATGATATCAATTTAGGTGGTGTTCTTTTCTTCTGTAAATAAGTGATTAATTAAGTTTTAATTATTATAAACTTTATAATAGATTAATATAATATTTTAGAGCAACTTTTTGTATGAAACACATCGTTTAGTAGTTTAAAAAACGTGTCATGAGTACTCAAATTTTCATCCACTTTTTCAGTAGAAACAAACGGGATCCTAATCACAAAATGTGAACATTTATAACTCAAATATAAAATTAGAGCTAAGGATTTAAACATACAGGAATCCCGTGAAATTTACTCATTTTAGTATTTTTCTTTTTCCGCACCTTTCTCCAGGAATTCTGTGAAGCGTTGATCATCCATCCGACGGCCTCGAATGCTAGTGCGTTGGCATTCACCCATCCGAAGCTTCCAGAGCGCGGGGCCCACCACCACCACCACCAGTCCATTACCGCTCGCTCGCTGCTCCCCGCCGGCGACTGCGAAACAACCCGCCGCCGCCGTTGCGCGCCGTCCGGTCGCATCCCCTGGCCTGGCCGTCGCCGGCCCGCCCGCGGCGCACTCCTCCATGGCCGCCAAGTGGGCGCAGAAGACAATCGTCATCCCCGCCCAGCGCCGGGGATGCCACCTCATCACCCCCAAGGTCTCTCCCTCCCTCCCCGTCGCCATGTCCGTACATCTCTTTGCTCCAGCGCTTTGCTTGACTGAGACCTTTTGCAGATTCTGAGGGAGATTGAGGGCGACCTGTCCGGGTTCAAGTGCGGCTTGGCGCATCTGTTCTGTATGTAGATGCACACACTCAACTCAACTCATGATCGGTTCATTCATTCATCATCGCTCTTGCTTAGATAGCTCGATTTTGTTGTTGATCGATTGCTGTGCTAGGCAATTTTCTGAAAGTACTTTATGGATAACCGCATACGGTGTAGGTAAATTCCCCTGAACATGCTGATGCTGATGTGATGCGTGCTTGTTCAGATCCGTCAGGCCTTGTTCGGTTTGAAGGGGATTGAGGGGGTGTGAAGTTATTCCCCTCCAATCCCTCCCTCTCTCTTAGGGATTAACCGAATATGGCCTAAGTGGGATTTAATTATTGCGAGGGTTTTAGCAAACTATTCTGATATGATGATATGTTAAAAACTTGTTTTTATCTTGTGCATGGGATTGACTTGAGAGAATAAATTTGTGGTTGACTGGAATCGTTTTGAATCCGTGTGAACCAATTTATACAAGGAAGTAATATAAGTTCAACATCAATTAATGGCATCATAAGAAAATAGACCATCCTCATTTTCTTTAAAGTAATGACAATGTCAATTATATGCATGTTCGTAAGCTGATAAGCATGTCCAAGTAAACACATGTTTTCAATGTACGAATGTACGATTGTAGTATTGATTTTTTTTTCACTATACAGTGCAGCACACAAGCGCTTCCCTAACCATCAATGAGAACTATGACTCCGATGTACAAGCTGACACCGAAACTTTCCTTAACCGAATTGTACCAGAGGTCAGTGGTTGCAATTTGTCTTGTCTTTGATCATGATCAAACAAGGGATCATGTAAGAGCCACTTCATTGTGTGTTCACTATTTTCAGGGCCGATCTGCTCCTTGGAAGCACACTCTAGAAGGTTATTTAAGTGGTTACTTCCTTTTTTTTTTTTTGAGAAACAAGAGGTTACTTTTGGTATCCAGTTAGGCTGTACTGAACTAGTAGCAGATGGTATTAAATTGCTCTAGCATACGGTTTTTTGATTTGTTAAGAGTCAAGACTGTACTATTCTTCAGATCAGGCCATATTAGTCAATAGTCATAACTGTGCTGTTCAAATTGCAGGACCTGATGACATGCCAGCACATATTAAATCATCAATGTTTGGTTGTGCCCTGACGTATGTGTTCCCTAATCCCTACATTCTTTTCCCCATGTCAATTTTCTCCCAAGTGAGCCAACAAAATATTAAATTAGATTCTTCTTTTGCATTGCTTCAGGATCCCTATAACTGATGGGCATCTCAATATGGGCACTTGGCAGGTAATAGAAACATATAGGATATCATTTTCACAATTGACTATCCTTTATTTTCTGGTTATTTTGTTGTCAACCTGCAGTACTAAATTTTTAGATAATGGGAATTTATAAAACTAAAAGAGCACAAAGACTCCAAAGCCTTTCAAAGTGAAAAGACTTCCCAAACAAACCAACGACCACATAACTCCTTTAACCGCTTTCTCATGTTCCATCCATCTTTACCAAAGAAATGCATGACAGATGTCTCTAACAGTTTGCATCCTTCATTCATCACATCACGCTCATCTTCTTTACACAATAAGAACCATTGTCGAGCCCAGTATGTCCCCCTGAAAATAACCTGCAAGTAAGAGTTAAAATTGGAGCCGTCGAAGACCACATCATTTCTGCAAATCCACATTGCCCACAACAACGCCGCAATCCCTATAAAGATTTGGTGCTTTAGCCTAGATTGTAAACCCTTTAGCCAAATCCCAAACATATTAGAAACATTGTTAGACGGATTTATCCCAAATGTTATAAAAAGGGTACTCCAAACAAATCTAGCCACATGAAAATCAAAGAAGAGATGTTGTATCGTCTCATTGTGGTTACAAAAACAACACTTAGTGCTGCCCTTCCAATTTCTTTTTGTTAGATTGTCCTTCGTGAGAATCACTCCCTTCTTTAAATACCAGAGGAAGATTTTGTTTTTCAAATGAATTCTAAGCTTCCAAATTAAATCCTTCCTTGGCACTACATCCTCATACATAATCATTTATACATGGAGCTAACCGAAAATATTCTGGTTTTGTTAACTTTCCAAATAAACTTGTCTCTATGGTTTGAGAGCCTAACAAGTACCACTTTAGCCACTAGGTTAAACCTGAAGTACTAAATGTTTCGTTGTTTTATATAGCGACCTTAAGTTCATCATGAAGTTCTCGAATCTATATACAGGAGATAAAAAGTTGTCATGAAGTTTTAGGAGACCATGCAATCGTGCATGTGAAATTTGTGTTGATTATGTTGCACGCGAGTTTAAACTTATCTTTTAAGGCAATGCGGTGCTTTGTATCCCATATTCAGGCATAGTTTCAGTGATAATATCCGGTGCAAAGCTGTAACCTAGCAAAATAACTAATTATAAAACCCGTCTAGATCATAGAGCACACTTCTTAAATTTTGAGCACTTATTTCATGGACTTATTTTGTGTAGGGTATATGGCTCTGTGAACATCGTGACAATGCTTCCTCCCGGAAAATTGTGATCACTCTCAATGGGGTCTAGATGAAGGTCTTCAAAGGCTGGGATGCAGGAAAGAGAGCGAATGTTGGACAGTTCGAAGCACGGGCATGTAAAATCATGACTCCTGCCGTATACTGAATTGTTGTTCTAAATATCGATTAATGCTGGGGAGCTCTATGAAATTTACTGGTACTGTTTCCTGTGTGATGTTTGACATGCTATGTTATCTTACAAACTTGTGAATTTTATGGCAGTGATGCTTAATGCTTTCTAGATCATTATTACTGGCACTTCCTACGAATTTCTTAACTATCAACGAAAAATGTGTTCAATCATTGTTACTGCCTTCCTGATATCGTATCTCGTGGCACTGATTTGGACAATGGGGTGCAGTGGTAAAGAAGTGGTAAAAAAATAGGTGAAACCTCGCGCATTGCTGCGGGAAATTTAGTATGATAACAATAAAAAAAAATAACCTGTTGTAAGATAGCTAGATAACATCAGATTAAGTAAGTTAATGTGGTTTATGATAATTTAAATTTAAATAGTATGTACAATGGTGATTCAAACGTAAAGAGTAAGGTGGTATGACTTTTTGGAAGAAGAAAAATAAGGAGATGGTTTGGAAAGTAGATTAATCATCTAAAGGCTAAAAACAATTGATGTGATATGACTTAATTAGAGGAAAAAATGATAAAGATAATTTGGACCATAGATTAATCATTTAAGCACTAACTAAATGAGGATGAACTATAAAACTATATAGGATATCATAAAACATAATAAAGATATATATTGAAACATTATGTAAATTATGTTGGATGATAATTTAACATGTTTGTATTTGAAAGCTCTTAAATTATAAAAACTATAAAGATATAACATGTTTGCATGATATTTAAATGTGATGATTGGTAGTGGATGATGATGTGGCATCTTGTTAATTAGTGGATGATGATGTGGCATCTTTGCATGTTAAGCTTAAGGAGTTAGTGGGGATAACTTTATAGTAAGATAGGATTAGGGCAAGGTGCAGTGCTAGCTTGTAAACCGCTAATCCTTTCTTCCTCGAGTATAAATATAGTTGAAACCCACTATAAGCATTACCTCCTATAAAGCAGCCTCCACATTAAGGCCCTGTTTGATTCAGCTTAAGATTATTATAATCTAGATTATTAGGAGTAAGCTGAAACAAATAAGTAGATTATTATACTAGATTATTATAATCTATAAGCCAGATTACTATAATCCAATAATCTCCTCTAGAGGAGCTTTTTCCAGATTATTGAGTGGCTAAAGACCCACTACCCTTAGATGTCTCTAATAATCCAGAGAAACAAACAACACATAGCTTATTTTATATCAGCTTATTATAATCCAGTTTAGAGTAATCTGATTTAATAATCTTAAGTTGAAACAAACAGGGCCTAAGCCTAATCATCAACTTTTTACACCTGTAGGATCAAAGTTGTCGTCTGGCTGGGTTTGTGCATAGCCAAGTGCAAACGTTTAATTAGAGTAGACTCAAAATGTAATATGAGATGGTCAATTTCTTATATGCCATGTTCATTTCACCTTCAGCGCAGTGCAACAACCATGCAAATTCAAATCACTTAGACTGTGTTCTTTTGGAGGGGTTCCTAAACCTCTCTGCACGTAAAACGAAGCGATAGATTAACGCATTATTAACTAAGTATTAGCTATAAAAACTTGAAAATGGATTAATATAATTTTTTAAAGAAATTTTCCTATAATTTTTTTTATAAAATATGTACCGTTTAGCAGTTTTAAAAACGTACACATGGAAAAGAGATGAGTCGAGAACTGAAAGAACAGCCTTATTGAGAAACTGCTACCATCAATAAGAATAGAATAGCAACCGTTCTTGTGTCATTAATTAACCCCATTAATTCTAGCTCTTTGTAACTATTGTAAGCGTGCTCTCTCAAACTATCTTAGTAGTATATGTAAAGCCACATTCCTCTTTTCTGATGAACTCCCTCTTCCTCGCATTGCTTCTCTTTCGTCCACACACATGTTGATTACAGCAAGATTACTCCTTCCTCTTCCTTATGGGTTCCCATCTAATTATCTCACCCCATGAAACTAAGTGCCAACCTGACTATCTTCAGCCACAGTTGCAGATTATAGTTAGTGGATCTCCTTCTGTTTAACACCAGCATGCACGCCGCTAATCTTATATTCTTATGTGTACCATGTGTTCAACAAAATAACTACATTGTTGTTGCTTGCAGGTTGCATTGTGTGGATATTTTTTTTTGTTGGATTCTGTACTCACTCCCCCAATACGATCATGGACATCTTCCCTGTTTTTTATCACCAATTGTCCGTGAAGCCTAGAGCATAAGCATCCCCAAAGGTAGCTTTGGCCTTAAAATTAGTTGATCATTTTTACCTTAAAGTTAGAATGAGGACATGCTATTTTGAATGAAACTTTTGTATACCAGTTCCTTCTTTTTGGATCAATTGTTTTTTTGTGATTATGTGCTTGAGTTGGACACAGGGATTCATATGCGGTATCTAATTCTTGCCCTTTTTATTAGTTTGTATCATGTACATTTTTCCATCATTATATCGTTCTCTCTCTCATCTCTGTTCATTGGTGCGTTTACTTTTACTGTTTAGCTCTCACATTATTTTCCTATGTGCCATGCTGCTGGTGGATTTTGGAGCAAATATATAAGTTACAACCTATTAACTATATTTATTGCTATAAAATAAACAAGCTTTCATGATTAGCCACGCCATCAAATTATGTTAGCTATTAGATCAAACTACGTACAATATACCAGCCATTCGAGCAATGTTAACTACGTACAATATACCAGCCATTCGAGCAATGTTCATAAGTAAATAAGTTCCAAAATCCCGTTGCAACGCGCACGGTATCCACTAGGTGAAAGCAACAAGCTATCGATCTCAAAGGAGAATGAGCCACATCACCTAAAATAGTAAGGACCGTTAGATGAAACTAATTAAGAACTGTACCATTGGATCATATATGAGGCATCTACATCGCTTCTACATGTCTTAGGGATGTGTTTGGCAAATGGGATATGGGAGGTGGGATTGGGAAAGGGGAATAGATGAATGGCTAGGATTAAATTAGAATTAAATGATGTGTGAATAATGGATGGCTAGGATGCAATATTGCACTTTGGAGGATGGGATATTATTTCCCAATCGCATTTGCCAAACAAAGCCTAGATGTACCATCATTGGCTGGCTCTCGGGATGCATCATCTAAAAACCAAGGAGACAACTTTAGGCTCTTTTTTTTTATAAAATATATATTCCGTCTCAATTTTCGTTAGTATTTTTTTCAGCTTTCCCATCTCGCATTCTATGCATCCATGGCGATGGCGGGAGATCTCCCATGAGGGCGGTTCTAACTCCATTCAAAGCCGCCACTGCTGTTACTGCAGCAGACAAGCAGTTACACTAATACAGTACAAATAAATTGGTCAGTTTTATTTCATGATCCCATAAAAAAAATTAAACTACCAAAAGTATGCAGTTTCTTTCATCTCTGCAAAAATGGTTCCAGTTTCTTGGGAAATCACACGAGCTGACGCTCTAAATTAAGACTGATGAAAGGTGGCCGTCGTTTAGGAGCGCCACCTAATTTTAGAAGCTCCGTTCGCACCCTTGCCGGGACACCTCCTCTTTTGCCTCCTCTCCACAATCTGATATAGACATCTTGTGGCCTCGGCTTGGTGGGGCTGGAGAACGTCTTTTCTCAATTGTGTTATTGCAGTTTCATGTGAGGTATGTATCTTTTTTTTTCTCGAGCATGTTGCTCTGCAAAATTAAATTTGAAGTTATCTGTTCTGAAAAAAAAGATAAGTTTGATGAGAAGTTATCTTTCGCCTTTGATTTGCATGAATTTAAATTTGAAGTTCTCTGCTCTGAAAAAGAAATAAGTTTGATGAGAGGTTATCTTTCACCTTTGATTTGCATGTATGATCCTTCAGCGGTTTCTTTGTACATTTGTTTTGGTATAGTTTTTTTTACTCCAATATTGTTTAATCTTCTCCGCTGTTTGATTAGTTCACAAAAATATTATGTGATGCAGGGTGCTCCTCCTGTCCAAATGGGAGAAAGATATCCTCACATGTTCTTGATCCTCCTACTTTTTCATGGAGCCCATGCGGCTTTGAAAGATCCAGTACAGAAATGGCAGACTCTTGGAGGTAAACATCTTCTTGTTCTCTTTGCTGTTTTTTTTTTCAATTGGAAAGATTGTTGTTTCACCTGATCAAGCATTTTGATTTGCTAATCTTTGTGGTGGTGTCCTACAGGTCAGCGTCCTCTTGTCATTGCTCGTGGAGGGTTCTCCGGCTTGTTTCCTGATTCAAGCCAGTTCTCGTACCAGTTTGCAATGTCGAGTAGCTTGCATGATGTGGTTCTGTACTGTGATCTGCAATTGTCCAGTGATGGTTTGGGCTTCTGCAAAACTGGATTGACATTAGAGAACTCGACGCTTATCGCCGAAGCCTTCCCTAAGAGGGCCAAGACATACAAGGTGAATGGAGAGGAAATCCATGGGTGGTTTGCTTTGGATTTCACCGCAGACGAGCTGTATCAGAATGTCACATGTAAGCAGAAAAAAAAACTGAGTAATTTCAGTCTTCAAAGTGAAACATTGCATACAGTCTTTAAATAAAAATTCATTTTTTTTATTTGTGCTCCATGAATGAAGTCAATTTCAAAATATAAAAATATATGAATGATTCATAATTTTCTTATGTATTTTGAATAGATAAGGTTGGAATGGAGCCTTGGAGGTGGTTCGCCACATAGCAGCTTGTAGCAAATTCTGAAGCTATAATTTTTTTTTTTGCTGCAACTTTTCTCTGACTTGTTATTCTGTGATTTGATCATCCCTCAGTGATCCAGGACATCTTTTCTCGCCCAAGCACATTTGATGGAGCCATGGGAATGTTTACCCTTGAAGATCTTGTCGGACTCAAGCCCCCACATTTATGGGTTAATGTAGAGGTAATTTTTATTTCACTATTACCCACAGACTTACTGAGGCACTTTTCTTAGTACGCTATATTGTCTCTCTAACACAAGTTCTTTTTTAACTTTTTTTTTTTTGCTTTCAGTATGCTTTATTTCTCCAGGAGCACAAATTAAGTGCCGAAGATTACATATTAGGATTACCAAAAGATTTTAGTGTCGCTTACATCTCCTCACCAGAAATTGGATTCTTGAAAAACGTGGGTGCTAAGCTCAAGAAAAGCAACACCAAGCTAATTTTCCGGTTTCTTAGAGAAGACGTCGCTGAGCATACCACCAAGAAAACGTATGGAGAGATCCTGAAAGACCTGAAATCCGTCAAGGCCTTTGCATCAGGGATTCTTGTCCCCAAGGAATACATTTGGCCATTGGGCAAGGACCAGTATCTGCGGCTGCCTACTAGTTTGGTCAAGGATGCACATGCCCTTGGGCTTGAAGTTTTTGCCTCTGGATTTGCCAATGATGTCTCCATGAGTTACAACTACAGCTTTGATCCCAGTGCAGAGTACTTGCAGTACATTGGCAATGCAAACTTCTCTGTCGACGGCGTGATAACGGATTTCCCTCCCACTGCATCAGGAGCTGTTGGTAAGAAGAACATATGCAGAAATTTTACTGATGAAAGAATGAAAATTGTCATACTGTATTATTCATCAATAACAGCATCATTTTGATGATCTTTTGCAGCGTGTTTGGCAAATACCAAGGGCAATCCTCTTCCTCCTCCTGGTGGTGGTAAGTTGCAAAATACTTTTACTGTTCACCGTCACATATTGTCAAGCTATAAGTTACCACCATTCCTACATTTGCACTGATTTCTCTAATTCGATCAGATGGAGGCAGGCCACTGATCATAACCCACAATGGCGCGAGCGGCGTCTACCCGGGCAGCACTGACCTCGCATATCAGCAGGCGGTGAAAGACGGCGCCGACATCATCGATTGCGCGGTCCGGATGTCGAAAGACGGCGTGGCCTTCTGCCAGCCATCTGCAGACCTCAGCACCAGCACGACGGCGTCCACCAGTTTCATGACCAAAATCTCCACTGTCAGTGAAATTCAGAACAAGTCGGGCATCTTCTCCTTTGATCTCACATGGAGCGAAATCCAAACATTAAAACGTAATAATGAGCACCTGAAATCTTCTTTTTCATGCGTTATTTCATCCAAGATGATCACATATTCATTCACTAAACATCTTGCTCTTTTGTTTTGTTTGTCCGATCAATTTCGTCAGCCGATCTTCTTGGTCCGTACACCCAGGCAGGCCTGAAGAGGAACCCCGCCGCGAAGAACGCCGGCAAGTTCGTGACATTGCCTGAATTCCTAGACTTGGCCAAGGCCACCAATGTCTCTGGCATCATGGTCGAGATGGAGGTACACAAACAATCACCATGCTTCTCTTCTCAACCTGAATCCATCTCATCATCATGGTTGAGCTGAGGCTGAGCAATTTTTTTTTTTTTTTTGTGATTGATGAATTGTGATATTGAACGCAGCACGCATCGTTCCTCGCGAAGCGAGGCCTCGGGCTGGTGGATGCCGTGTCGGGGGCGCTGGCGAACGCGAGCTACGACAAGGAGGGCGGGCACCTGCCGGAGCTGATGGTGGTGTCGGACGACACGTCGGTGCTGGCGGCGTTCAAGAAGTTCCCGGCGTTCAGGCGGGTGCTGATGGTGGACGAGACGATCAGCGACGCGTCGGCGCCGTCGGTGGAGGAGATCAAGCAGTTCGCGACGGCGGTGACCGTCGGCCGCGGGTCGATCGCGCAGGTGAACGGCTTCTTCCTCACGCGGTTCACCGACGTCGCCGACCGGATGCACGCCGCCAACCTCACCGTCTACGTCGGCGTGCTCCGGAACGAGTTCATGAACCTCGGATTCGACTACTGGGCCGACCCCATCATCGAGATCGCCACCTACGCCTTCCACGTCATGGCCGACGGCCTCATCACCGAGTACCCCGCCACCGCCGCCACCTACTTCCGTAAGCAACAATCTCCTACTCCCCGTTTCGTTTCAGATTATAAGGGCACGAATGAAAAAACTAATTTCATAACTCACCTGGAAATCGTGAGACGAATTTTTTTAGCCTAATTAATCCATTATTAGTATATGTGGGTTACTGTAGCACTTATGGCTAATCATGACCTAATTAGGCTCAAAAGATTCGTCTCGCGATTTACATGCAAACTGTACAATTAGTTTTTCTTTTTATCTATATTTAATGCTTTATATATACGTCCAAAGATTCGATGTGATGTTTTTAGGAAAAAATTTTGGGGAACTAAACAGGCCCTAAGTCGTTTTAATTTGGTTAAAGTCAAATTACTTCAAGTACATTTTCATCCAAAAATAAATATATATGAAAATATATCTAATTATAGATTTAATGAAACTAATTTAGTATTGTAAATATTAGTATATTTGTCTACAAACTTAGTCAAAGCTTGAAGTAGTTTAATTTTGGCCAAAGTCAAAACGGCTTATAATCTGAAATGGAAGGGGTACCTCCCACAAAGCCATAGACACCAACTAGAACTAGTTTTTCAGCTCAAGAAATTAATATAAATTAATCATCTTAAAAGTAAATTTTATAAAGCCTCACGTTTTATGATCAAAGTTACAGAAAATCGTAGGTATTATGACTTGTAAAACATAAGAGATTTTATGGTCTAATGTTTTAAAAATTCCCACCTTGATTCGAATTTCAATTGATTTCAATACATCTGAAATAATACTTTTCAAAGTAGTGAAGAGTTAAACCGACAAACTTAATGAAGAAATAAAAAACTAAAAGTTTCATATGCATTACATGTTTTGAAACGGTAAGTAAATATTTACCAAATATGTATAGGCGTGGGATTTTGTCAAAATAAATAGATGAGGCTATGTGCCACTGGCCATAATGCTCAGGATTTTATGCAACTTCGATATTATAAAAATATGGGGTTTGATGAAATTTGCTCTAAATTTTAACTTCTCTGTGTGAATTGCAGGGAGTCCGTGCAGCGATCTGAGCCTGAACCTGAGCTACGCGATCCTGCCGGCGGACGCCGGCGCGCTGGTGCACCTGGCAGCGCCGGGGGCGCTGCCGCCGGCGCTGCCGCCGGCGCCGGTGCTGGAGCCGGGCGACGTGCTGGACCCGCCGTTGCCGCCTGTCGCCATTGCCAGCCCACCGGAAGAGGCGGCGACGGCGGCGAAGCCCACCGACAGCAGCAGCTCGGCGGCGGCGGCGAGATCCAGCGCCGGCGCCGGTGGCTGCCGTGTGCTGGCCGCCGCCGTCGCTTCCCTGTTTCTGATACTGCTGCCATCTCATGGCTTCCATTGACGACGATCTTGATGGATGGCATTGTACTAACAGATGTTTTCTCTGCGTTTTTCTCTCCTCGTATCCTACTTTGTACTGTGTAACATAATGTTCTCTAAATAGATTATATGTGTATATGAACCTGCACATAGATAGATAGAGATATATATCAAAAAATGCACCAAAACTTGATCGTTTGCAATTAACAAAATATTTAAATTCTTCAGAAAAAAATGGAAGAAAACAGTAAAATTCACTCATCAGTGCACCAACCTGTCTCTAGCATTATCGGTTACCCATATCCCCTAATAAACCAAAACAACTTATTAAGACATAATAATTAATGCATAAGTAAAACCTTTAAAAATTGTGTTATTAGTAACTAAAAATACAATTCTGAAAAAGAAAGTGCCTTAAAATATCTTCAACTTAAAATTTAAATTTTAGCTTTGGTTTTAGCTTATTAGTGCAACTGATGGGGCATGATTCACCTTTTTTAAATTCTATTTTTTTATTAAATTTCGACCACTAATCGTATATTTAAATGATTTAAATATGGTATTCTTAAATTCATAAACCGATAATTAAATTTTTAAAAAAATACAAAAATGAAATTCGAATTGGATGGCATCTTGGCATATTCCATTTCTAGCCCATCATCCTCTCGTGCGGTCGTGCCAACGAAGCAACCCGCTTGGCGCCACACAAACATACGGCGGCGACACCGAGACACTCTCGCCGGCCGTCGCCGCCGCCGTCTCCTCCCATGGCGACGGTCGCCGGCCGCTTCGGCTCCCCGCCACCGCTCCCTCTCCCTCGCCTCCGCCGCCGCGCCACCTTCTCCGCCGGCGCACGCCGTTCCGCCGCTCGCGGTCGCATTACGAGGTTGGGTTTTTTTTTCTCTCTCTCTCTCTCCGTGGAACCGCTTCTGATAGGATCAGGATTAAATTGTTGAATTGCCTGGTGGAATTTTCAGTAATTATCTGCGCAATTGCGAAATTCCTCATCTGATAATTCTCGCAAATACAAACAGTTCGCGTAATTTCTCCCGTATGGATTCCTGCGCTGCAAGGGCATCGGCCTCCGGGGCTGAATCTTCTTCTGGTGGTGGGGAAGATGAGAGCGAGATAATCGATGCAATGGAAGTGAAATCAAGCAGCACTGCTGCTTCTTTCCTTGCTAAAGTGGCACTTGCTCTGGGTGTGGCAGCTACTGCTACTGTGATTTCACTCTTCATGAGGCAGCCTTCTTCAGGTCCATCTTTCAGTTTGCCACAGATTGTTGATGCTTCGGCGCCGCCGGATGCGGCAGCGACCATCGGATATACTTTTTCGCTGTTTGGGAAGAAAGTTATTGTTCCGGAATATACTCCAGGGTATGTGCATTTCACAATTTTATGGGTTATCTTTCTGTTTCACTCACAGTTAAAACATTGTGTTGTTGCATATTACTCCTGAAATGCATATGTGCTAACCCGGCAAAAAAAAAAAAATGCATATGTGCTGCTGAAGTAAGACAAAGACAAATACATTGTTGATTCCTGGATTTTAATATTCCATTCTCCATGAGCATCCATAATTTTGGCTGTTATATCAGATTGTGAATTTATTTGTGAGTGGAAACTACATGCTAGATACATATGCTTTTGGGGATAATTTCCAACTACCAAGGATTTTTTTTTTGTCCTAACTACCTAAGATTACCACCTTGCACCATTGCAACATATATGATGATTAATGGTGGATGGTGAAAAATATGTAAAATGAATCATTTATATACACATGTACCATAGTCACACTAAAAGAGTTTCCAAAACTTTTTAAAATATAACGAATTGCTAATAAATTTCTTCAGGTGGGTTTACTTTTGGTTGCTCATGGCTGCTGGATTTGGACTATTTATTAGTGAAGAAGCTTTAAATGTTTGGGTCTGTCCTCTGTACTGGCATCTTCACTGTGACCATGCCCAACTAAGTTTCAATAACTTACTGCAAACTTTTATGTTCACTGCGTAATTGATTGTTGCATGTTAAGAACATGATTACTTTTTTTCTTGATGTAGGTTGGGATTTCTTTAGCACGCAGCCTTTGTTTGGATGGAACCTGGCAGTCTCTTGCTAATTCATTCTCAATGAATGCATCTTATATAATTTCCACAGTGTTATGGGTTTACTGGTGCGTGCACAGTTCCTTTTTGTCAGTCAATCGATCATCAATTAATCATGGACCATCTTTTGTTACCTGACCCATCCTTCCATTCAGGGGCGTTTGTATTAGTGATATGGTTCCATTCTATCTAGGTAAACTTTTTAGGCAAACAAGAGCATCTGAAGACATAAGCAGCAAGGTATAAAGCAGGGATTTATTTGCCATTTTTACTTATATCATAGTTTCATAATTTTGGTAAAGAATAACAGACTGAAAGAGTATTCTTCACTCTGAATGAGATATAATTTGCACATCTGTTTTTAGATTGGAATTGGGAAGGAGAAAGCACTAAGCATATCGCGTGCGGTGCAAAAGTATGGCAACCTAATTGGATTTGGTATATATCTGAGATTATAATTTCTCAAGAGTTTATATCTGAGTAAGGAGCATTTTCCTGAAATGCCAGATTATAGTGCTGCACTTAGTGCATCCAGAAACAACACCAGTGGGTTACATTCATTAATCACTGACAGTGAGAAGTCACTAATATCTGTGATGTTTGGTGCAGTTGAGCGATTTTCAGTTGGGGTTCGCAATCCTACAGGATTTCTAGCTGGCGCATTGGTTAGTCATTTTCCCAGGCTTCACTCACAGTGATTCTGTCAGAAATTTCTGATAAACCCGATATTTTAACTGACGATTACAAACAGGGCATACCAGCAGACTGTTATTTTGCTGGAGTTTGCTGTGGTTGTCTATTTACTCTTCCTATCCAGGTAATTTGGATTTTAATTTTCTGTTACTTCTGAAGTTACTGAGTTGTCACTTGCTCAGGACGTTTGATCTAACTTTATAGAGACTTACTACTTGGCGTGATGGCTATAATTTTAGGATATACTCCTATGTAGTTGTTTTTTTTTTGTTACCTTTTATGTTCAATTCTGTCCTGGCCTCCTGGGTGGTAATTGCTGGCAGGGAACTTTGGCCATATTGTTGCTGATTTTATCTTCACCTTTACTAGATAGAATCAATCTGCAAATTATTTCTATGTTCCTCCAATGCAGTTGTGGCAACTAAAAAAATGTTTTGTCTTACAATACAATGTTTATCCTTGTTAATCTGTAGGCTGACACCATTGTTATATTCAAACATCTTACAGATCAATCGAATTAAATACATGAATAAGAATTCTTCAATCTGTATTTACGACAGCTGACACTAATGATGTCTCATTGCAGCTAGCTGTTGGGTTTTTCCTGAGAGAACGGCCTGTTGTTGCACTCGCAAGTGTTGCGGCAGCTGTGGTAAATCTCCTCCCCTCTCCTGAAAAATTGAGAGTAAAATCTTTGTTTACCTTTTCTAATCAAATTATGCTTTGCTTTGAAACCAGGGCATGTGGACCGTGTTCCCTTATGCAGCAGCCGCATGTACTGCATTGTTCTTCTACCTCAGTCGTCGCAACTCCAGTAACTGAATGTGGTGATACTTCATTTGCAATATTGCATGTTGCGACGCATGCCAACTCAGTCCTCTTCTGAGTTCAGACACATCCATGAATCTTATATCTGAACATAGGCTTGCATGCACACTAACATACCCTTTTCCCCTAATGTACAATTTTATATATTATTTTCCTTATTTGTATGCTAGCTTCTGAAGAGCTATGAAATGTAGAAGTATATTGGTTCAGAAAGCTTGTATAGAAGTATAGAACTGCCATTCTTCTGAAACTGTTTTACTCGATCTTTTCCCAGCTTCTGGCTCCTTTGGATACAGTGGTCAAATTATTTACTGAAACATGGATACATCATGCATTGTACTACTAGTAGTATAGGAGCAATATATATTGATGGCTATAATTTTAGGATATACTCCTATGTAGTTGTTTTTTTTTGTTACCTTTTATGTTCAATTCTGTCCTGGCCTCCTGGGTGGTAATTGCTGGCAGGGAACTTTGGCCATATTGTTACTGATTTTATCTTCGCCTTTACTAGATAGAATCAATCTGCAAATTTATTTCTTCCCCAGTGCTCCACGGTTCTCCAAATGAGAAAAAGAAGAGGGGGTGGTGAATGCACGTGGTTTTAAAACTAATCTGTTCCAGCCTGAAGCAAACCATCTGCACGACACATGTCAGTCTTATCTTTCCAGCTAATTACAAATATAACATATTTTAATTGTATCACTACCTTAGGCCTGATAATACTTGTCGTTTTTAACAAGGCCGATTGTAAACTATAAAATCTTTGAATATGAATAATTTCTAAAATATTTATCTTAGAATTACGGAGATTATATACATAGATTACTCTTAAAAGGTACTCCACTTCAATAGCATTATATATTTATTGATATTTTTGGAGATCATGTTCTTGTCCAAAACGATGGCTCGATGAGTATTATCAGTCCAATGAAAGTAAGTATTAATTGCTTATATGGATATATAAATGGAGCTTACAGTGCAATTAATTGGGATAACGTATTGTTAGCTCACCTTGCTTGCATGGCTCACTGCTTAGTGCTCACTATTATGTTCGCTTGTAGCTGCTCACTATTCTTCGGACTTGAGCTCAAGGCCATCCGGCATCCGCCACATATAGCAATCATCTACCTTAAATCACGTGACTTTAGGATTACTGAAATGTAGATCCATATCAAAAAAGTTCCACATGTCAATGACTCAAAATCATGTGACTTAAGATAGAGGATCTCCATCCTAGCTCAATACCCTACTACTATTGGAGTTGGTGTTTATATCAAAGTTGTTGAATGATCAGAGCACAACACCGTATGGCAATGTCATCCATGATAACGTGGGTTACTTCGTTGATGCAAGCTACAACCATCTCGAATGAAGAAATATAGGAGACGAGCAAAGAGAAATGATCGTCGTCACACGTAGTTGGATAGTGAATCTGTGAATGTGCCAAATAGTAAACATTGTTGTTCCTTTTCCCAAATACTATATGGATCCTCACGAGCATATATGTATGAGTTTTGAAACATGATTGAACCATCTTTAATTCATGTTTTCAAATCCTGGAATAATTAACGTTTTGCCACTTTTACGAGTGGTTCTAAAGAATTTGCCACTAGACCCACATATCATAGATATCGATATCGAGTGGCAAATCATTAATTGGCACGTGACAAATAATTATGCCCTATTTGTTTAGGCTTAGGCTTATTGGCTTAGATTTTTAAGTCAGCTTATTTGCTTATATGATTTATATATTATAAGCTGGTGGATTTAATGTCTTAAGTTTAATGGTGGAGTCATGCATCTACCTCACGTAAGCCAAAAAAAGCTTCTCCAACCTAGCTTTTGGCTTAATAGTGTTAGAGTGGCTTATGGCTTCAAAAAAGACAAACGAAAAAACTATTTGTTTGTTCAGGCTTAGGCCCTGTTTCTTTCAGCTTGAGATTATTATAATCCAGATTATTGGGAGTAAGCTGAAAGAAACATACAACTTATTGAAGCAGCTTATTATAATCTGGAGTCCAGCTTATTATAATCTGATAAGCTCATTTAGGTGAGCTTTTTCCAGATTATTGGGTGAAAAATTACTCACCATGCCACTCCACTCCCTCTTTAGACTTGCAAACCCAATAATCTAGGCTCTAATAATCTAGAAAAGAAACAACTAACCGCTTATTCTACTACAGATTATAACAATCTAGCTTATAGTAATCTGACTCAATAATCTAGATTATAATAATCTTAAGCTGAAAGAAAAAGGGTCTTAGACTTTTCGGCTTATAAGTTGGCTTATAACCCTAAACAAAGAGGGCCTAATGTCCCTTCAATCTCATGTCATTCTTAACGCTGATTTTACACTTAACACCCTCAACTTCCCACACCCTTCCGATCCACCCTCGCATCACTCTTCCAGCCTCCCCTCCCCCCAACTCCGGCGATGGCCGGCCGCCTCCCCGGCGCCGCCTCCGCCGCCGCGGCGCCCCTCCCCCGAGCGCTCCTGCTACTCGCCGCCCTCGCCCTATTCTCCCTCACCTTCCTCTCCCTCCGCTCGCTCCGCCCCGCCGCGGCCCCACCCTCCCTCGCCATCGGCGGCTCCCGCCCTTCCTCCTTCGCGCGGCCGTCGGTGTACCACTCCGCCGAGGCCTTCGCGGCGGGGTACGCGGAGATGGAGCGGAGCTTCAAGGTGTACATGTACCCGGACGGCGACCCCAAGACGTTCTACCAGACGCCGCGGAAGCTCACGGGGAAGTACGCCAGCGAGGGCTACTTCTTCCAGAACATCCGCGAGAGCCGCTTCCGCACCGGCGACCCCGACAAGGCGCACCTCTTCTTCGTCCCCATCTCCCCCCACAAGATGCGCGGCAAGGTCCATTCTCCGCTCTACTTCTATTTACACTTCCATAGCATTGTAAGGCCATGTTCTTTTCAGCTCGTTCATCGGATTATTGAAACAGATTGTTTGCTCCATGCTTCGAGAAATACGTTTTCTCAAAAAAAAAATATCGTCTACTGTATTGTATGGTTTAGAACTTTAGATCACTTGTTTCAAGCTATTTTGTTAAGTTTATTTCTTAATATAATATTCGATTTACTCCTATAATCAAGTAGATAATCCGTGACAACATTCCACTCAATAATCTAAATCAAACAGGGCCTAATTGTCGTGTTAGGATGGCATCACCGTTTTGGTGCATTGAGTATTGCTCGGTTGCTGTGTGGTTGGGGCAATCGGCAAATGAATTTATTAATAGTAGAATGCGCTTTATGATGTAAAATTCCTTTCTTCAGCCTATAGCTGGAACATTGCACTGTGAATTTGGGATAGTAACGGTTCTCAAAGTAGTATTAGTTAATGTGTTGTTTATACCTGCATGTCATTATTGAAGCGAAAGTAGAACGATATTGTAGATGTGCCGATAGGTTTCTAGTCAGCAGTATAGTCTGGTGCAAGATCTTTGGTTTCGGAAATTTGTCGGCTTACAAACATTGAAATGCATTTTTCTTTTCATCTGATACAGGAACGAATTTCCTGTTATTAGATGTGACTGAAATTGTATGTTGGTTGTCCATATCTTTTGTAATTGATCTTTTATAATTGTTGACGTGCATATGTCTGTCTTTGCAGGGTACTTCATATGAGAACATGACAATAATAGTTAAGGATTATGTGGAAGGCTTGATAAACAAGTATCCTTACTGGAACAGGACACTTGGAGCGGACCATTTCTTTGTCACCTGCCATGATGTAGGTGTTAGGGCTTTTGAAGGACTTCCATTCATGGTGAAGAATTCTATTAGAGTTGTCTGTTCTCCAAGCTATAATGTTGACTTTATACCGCATAAGGATATCGCTCTTCCTCAAGTATTGCAGCCATTTGCTCTGCCTGAAGGAGGAAATGATGTTGAGAACAGGTTGGAATGACACTTACTGCTTCTTATGCTATATATGTGATCTTATATTCTTCTATGGTTGTCTTCATAAAAAAATTGTTCATTTGGGACTTCTGAATGATTCTTTTTCCTAGACTGACTATATATGTGTGCCTCCATGTATGATTCTAGACTTTTCTAGTAATAGTGCCTTCAAGTGAAAAATATCTGTTTACTTGAGAAATTCTGTAAAACACTCACACTTACTCACGTGGTTATCTTGTTGATCATGCCTTGAATCTTACAACCTATGATTAATTCAGAAGACTACATGGTTTTACATTTAGTTCAGCACTTTGTTCATGTGCAACGAATCACCTTGTAGCAAAATGAAAGTTGTCATGACCATAAATTTGTGACGATGCTATGGTTTGAACATCTATTTGCACTCCTACAAAATTTGTCTTTTGTTGCTTTTGCCATGGCAACAGGACAATCCTTGGATTTTGGGCTGGCCATCGCAATTCTAAAATAAGAGTCATTTTGGCACAAGTCTGGGAGAATGATACAGAGCTTGCTATCAGTAACAATCGGATCAGTAGAGCTATTGGAGAGCTGGTTTACCAGAAGCAGTTCTACCACACAAAGTTCTGTATTTGTCCTGGTGGCTCTCAAGTTAATAGTGCCCGTATATCTGATTCAATACACTACGGTTGTGTTCCTGGTTAGTATTTCTACCCAGTGACATTCATAATACATGCCACTCTACTTATGCTGTTTTTCCTATTTCACGGGAACTGATATTTTCAGTACCCTTCTGATTATTGAGTTCTAATCCATTTTGTTTCATCCTTTTAGTTATTTTGTCAGACTACTACGATTTGCCTTTCAATGATATCCTAGACTGGAGAAAATTTGCTGTTGTACTTAAGGAGCGTGATGTATATCAACTAAAAAGTATACTTAAATCTATATCACAGGAAGAGTTTGTTGAATTGCACAAATCTCTTGTTCAGGTTTGCAACTCTTGACCCTCCTTTTTTTCTATGAAGCCGCCGAATTATTTACAAAAGGAAGCATGTAATTCAGCGTTGTACTTAACTGTAATGGAAAATAAATATAGTAGATCACATTCATAGTACAAATAAGCTACTTGGTCAAGATTGTAATGTGTCACTTGTCTTGTTCAGAACATTAGCTGCCCTCAGGTCTGTTTGCGTGTAAATAATTTGATTCAGCCATTGTTTAGAGGCACTGAAGTTTCAGCAGTGCGGTACTATACTGTAACATGTTTAATTGGGATTGCAGGTACAGAAACACTTTGTGTGGCATTCACCTCCTCTTCCTTACGACGCGTTCCACATGGTTATGTATGAACTATGGTTGCGACATCATGTGATCAAGTACTAAATTCAACCATCCAAGTCTGGGCAGATACAAACATGAAAGCCTTATCCGTATGAATATGATGCGGAGTCTGACAACTATCCGGTGCTCTACTGAACATGCATTCATTCTTATGCTCATATATCAGCAACTGGATGGATCATTGTGCGTAGGTGTCATCTTGAGCATCTGCATCAGAGAAGTTGGCGACCATCGACCATAAATCATCAAAATGGAGTTGCTAGGTAATAGACTGATTAGTTCATTCTTTCAAGAATAGTTTTGTTTTTCCGCCATATTGCACTCTTTGTAAGCTGCGTTTTCTAGTTTGCCTGTGATACGGTATCCTTTACGGATCTGCCCATTTCTTACTCATGTAAAGTAATGTACGATGTTACTAACAAGACAGAGAACTGAACCAAGTAGGAGTAGAATATTGTTGTGATCAGCAAACTTTCAGGGGTTAATTTCACCATGCACCATGCGATCTATGGACTTCTATTTTCCCCGGCACTTCATTTCTTTATATCTGTGGCTGACCCTTGCTAGTACTCCGTAGAACTTGATGAAACAAGGATGAAACATTTATTACTACATCTTTGATCCCTTGGATCAGATCTTGAGAGTGGCAACCTCGAAACTTAATTTATCAGCTGAAACTTAAGTTTAGAGTTGATTTTGTTTTTTTTTTCATCGTGCTCTATTTCCAGCATTTGGCTTTTAAACTGCTAATAACATATAAAAGTTTTATCCACATTTTTTTTTCATTCATACGATTAAAGAAGCAACTACATCGATCAATTGATCTTTTTATTCCTATACTAATTGGGAACCCTCTAAGAAAGCTCTCATATTTAGAAATGTCTAGTCGTGAATTAAGGCTATGTTCTGTTTAGCTACTTCGCTAGATTATTGTTGCGGATTATTTGCTTTATGTCTCTAAAAATTAATTTCCTTAAAAAACTTTCTTCTACAGTATTTCTTGGATCTCTCAAATGTATTTATCAAAACAAGAAAGTTTGGGTGGTTAAAGTAAAATAAAAAACCAAAAATACCTAGCGAAAAGTGAAAAAAAAATAAAAGATGGTCTAGAATGAAACTTTGGTAATAAAAGATAGTTCACAGTGTAATTTATTCTTCATTTTATTTTATTTTTTAGCAGAAACACTGTACGGTTCAATATATTAAAAATTAAAAGAACAATTTACAGCATGTCTATCCAATCACATAAAGCTGATCTCTCGTAATGATTTACACGATGTAGTAAGAGAGGAGTATTCACTTTTAAGAGGACTTCCAAGAAAACAAAGAGGGTCTTCTATTCCAAAATAGGAATAATATGGCCATTCCTTTGCTTCCATTCCATATGTTCCATGTTGCATATAGGACCTTTTCAACAGAGTGAGAAGAAGCATGTGACATCTTGGCTGCCTTGATGTAGAATTTCTTCAAAGCTTAAAGACGAATCCCAATTTATTACAGGTTTCAACCAACAATCATTGACTGAAGGGGCACTGAATTCCTATAGATGCAAGTAATTCAGAACATTTGGATATATTCCTGATAAGCATGTTCTTATAAAGTGGAGAATGAAGGTTTGAGATATGTCTTTTAAACTTGCGATGCAAACTGAATCATTTTCGTTGGAAACAAAAGAATATGCTCTTGGGAAAGAGATTGATCTGACTATGCTATTCCATACATCACCCCCAAAAGGAGGTTTCTTCATCCTTTACCTCACATTTTGCTATGACTGTGAAGATATCCATAAATTGTATAACATCTCTCCACACAAACAAACCTTTTGCTATGACTCTGAAGAAGGCCGCTAAGGATTGTAAGTGTCTAACCCGCGAAACCTACTTATATGCTAAAATAAGCGCCGCGAGTCCACTTATTTTGACCTATAAATGGGTTACACCCTGAGCCGCCAACTCATTCCGCAGCAGCTACTACTAGAGTGTTATTACTAGTTCTTTTACCACTCCTCGTATCTGCTGCATTTTTCATTGTAGATGAAAAATTGAAAAGACTTTTGCTTTATTGGAATTTTGCTGACCGACAACATATATAAGTTTACATTTACTCCATCCGTCCCACAATATAAGCATTTTGGACTGTGACACGGTTTTTGTGATACTACTTTGACCAACAATATCTATAAAAGTAAGATGTTTTAAATAAAAAGAGTTACATATTATTATAGTTTGTCTAATGATAAATCTAATAATATCAATTTTACGTGATTAATATTTTTTTTCTATTAATAGATAAAGTTAAAAACGTTTGACTCGTCACTATAGTAAAAATGCTTATATTTTAGGATGGAGGGAGTATATTATTATGACCAAATTTCACTCTGGGTCATGTTTTATTATCTAAGTAGCATATTAGACTAGTTTTTAGAAAACCATTTGCGTTGAATCATGGTTTGTTACCAAACTTGACACTTTGAACCCGTGGCTCGAGATGATCGTTGTCGGCCGGCCTATCCGTCAGCCCTATACCTTATGCCCATTCTCCTAAGGTGAATGTGGTGTTACGCAAAGTCCTGTAGGATGCCACCAAGAGACTCAATTGCATATGGTCATGGTCAAGCTTCGAGTTGTGGATGGACAGCATCGATGAGAAAAAAAGATCCAAGTCTAAACTAGTCCAATGAGAATAAAGTGTGAGAAAACCTAGTCCTAAGTGAAAACATGAAGTAAATATATGGCCCATTATTCAACTGTGGTAAAGAAAAAAAAAGCCTAGTCCATTGTGCAATTCCTCTTATTAATATTAATCTGTATGTTCCACTCTCGTCAGTAATAATGTGTGTGTATTTGTAGAGTTGAAGAGGAATTTGACGCTGCAAATGCATGTGCACTTACATCCTGAGTCATTTTGTATGTTTTTATTAAGATTCGAGCTGTATTGAAAAGAGAAATACAGTAGTAAAGTTGTTTGATATATCAAGCAGTTTTCATTACTAGACCTCGACAATAAGTCCCGTACCATGCCGTAACCAATGATAACACTAATCTTTGACTCTTATACTTAACTAGAAAAAAATACCCGTGCGTTGCAACGGGTGAAAACTATTTTAATCTTATTATTATTATATGGTTTAGTTAAGACGAAATTTACTGTAGGAGTTCGTTTGGATATATATATATATATATATATATATATATATATATATATATATATATATATATATATATATATAGAAAATCATGAGCTGTGGTTAGGAATCCGATCATCTCAAGTTAGCATGCGAGTTTTTTAAACAGATTTATTATATGATTCCTTCTGTATTACCAAAAGTGAACGATCTTAGAAACCGACTCAAATACGGATATGTATTTCCAAAAGCAAACGAACTTAAAAACCAACTCATATACGGATGACGTACCAAAATACCGGTAAAAACATTTTCAATTTTTATAATAGTAGAGAAGAAATATAGATTAAAACTAAAACATAAAATTAAAACCGACTCAAACATGATGACGGACCGCGGAAACATCTTCAATTTTTATAATAGTAGAGATAGGTACTAAACCAGCTCAATAACTGTTACACCATCAGTTATAAAATACTCTTATTTTTTGGAAAGTTTAACATTGAATTTTTTTACTAATAATTAAATTAGTAACATAGGTTTGACGTCATACATGTAGCGTTATTAGATCCGTATTTAAAAAATATTTTTATATGATGTTAATTCCGCATTAGTTGATAATATATTATGATATAAATAAACGGTCAAATTGTAGACCATGTAAAAAGCTAATACGCCTCGTATTTGAGAACAAAGGGATTACTAGTCTGTCAGTTTCTTTCACCACATTCCTAATATCTGCTGCATTTTTACATGAAAAATTACTTTAAGTGCTTTATTGAATTATTACTGATCAAACAAACGATATATATACGTTTACACTTATTATTGTTTTTCTACTGAGCTGGCCTTGGCACTCTCAAGGCCTCAGCCAGGATGTAGCAGCATCAGATGGCATGATCTGCAGTGTCGCCATTATCAGGAGCAGTGATGAAGCAATCACTTGATCAGGATGCACCTGATTGGTGAGCCCTCGGATCCAACCAGCCTCAGAGGTAAGCAATGCAGCATGTAGATTCCAGCCTTGACATCGTCTAGCTTCAGGCCTTCGACTAGGATGATATTCTGAAAGAACAAATTCAGCAAATCAACCAATGGTTACAGCCAGTAATATAATCTTGCATGCTAGATTCATCGTGCTCTAAATCACCCATTCATGAAGGTGTAAACATTCTTTGCAGCAACATCAAAACAGAGTAAAGCAAGCACTGTCCCAAAACTTGTCAGTAAGTAATGCAGCAATGGCATGCTTTCAAAGTTACTCCCTCCGTTTTATAATGTACTTTCTCCGTTTCACGATGTAAGTCATTCTACCATTTCTCATATTCATATTGATGTTAATGAATCTAGGCATATACATCAATTTGAATGTGGGAAATGCTAGAATGACTTACATTGTGAAATAGAGGGAGTAAAACTTTCTAGTATTACCTACATTCATGTCTATGCTAATGAATTTAGGTATATATGTGTGTCTAGATTCATTAGCATTTATATGAATGTGCACAATGTTAGAAAGTCTTACATTATGAAACGGAGGAAGTAACTATTTAGTCAGTACTCAGCTCTGTAATGTTTGTCAAGGATTTGTTTTGAAGTAGATTAAAGAAGTGAGAATGACCAATTTACAGATGTACTGAAATAGAACAAGGATAGCGTCGTACCGGGAATTTGAAAAAGACCACATGGGCAGTGATCAAGTGATCATATGCTGCAACTGATAGATAGTCAATACCTGCAGAGTAGCCAATCGGCCAATAGCATAGCATTAAATTCTCATCAAACAAAAAAAAATGATAAATGCATACATATCTTTATCACCGACAAAAAGGCCATAAATGTAACTTAATACTAGCTTGATCAAGGAAAAAGAAGTTATCAATACCACTGTTAAGTGTAAGATATCTCAGAATTACATACCAACTAGCTTGATGTCAGTGTTGTCAACTAACCACTGTGCGCCATCTTCTGTGAATCCGACATAACTCAGATCACCTCCCTTCTTCCACATGAGCTTCCTGCAAATCATTTGCTTACAGTTTAATTGGTTATATAGATGAACTAATGATATCTGTATTGTAAAGATGCAAAAGAGAAATGCTGAAAATGAGCATATGGACAACGGACCACTTGTTCTAAAAACTGAGCCTGCACTATGGGAAAAGGTGTGAATATTATGCATGAATATATGTCCAGAAAAGAGTACATACCTATCTGTGTTCAATGTCCTGAAAAGAACTCGACGAACACCTTTTGGTATATTTAACGACTCCATTGCTTTAGCTGTATAAAGAAAGTGCATGCAAACAGTGATGCATTTTATATACAAGACATAGAAGTGATATTCATGTTTTTGTCATATCTGTGGGACCATGGGGGCATGGGCAGCACTGCTGAATGTGGTAAATTCATCAGATATATCATATAATTATTAATTATATTCGTGATAGAGCAGGTAGCTCCTTGGAAAAAAGAAAAGTATACATAATAGTACCTGTTATATTTGTGTTTCTTGGAGTATCAACCAATAATGTAGGACCTGTCCAGCAAAGAGGAAATCGATCAACTTCTTTTTTTTTTTGCGGGGAACTTCAAATATCTATAACTACCTGACAAATTTTCACTCAAGTTTCATTTGCAATTTCCTTAGGAATGCATTACATTACAGAGAGTGCACTTCGAAAGAATTGTTGAATAGGCATTTCACAGCTACTATTAAGTATTTCACAACATTTCTTCAGCTAAACTGTTAATTTTGTTGATCAAATCATATCAGGTGAATCTTCAATGCTGGAACAAAGCCAACGAAAAATTGATCTTTGCAAGCAGCAGGACAAGAAGCTGTGCTCTGCAACTCTGCATGAGAGAAGCAACTGGAACAATGGCAGACTAATACTAGCACCTAACACTGAAATGGAGCTGTCTAATTCACTTGATCCTGTCAGCTGTCAGTATGCAAAGGGAGATCGTGCAAAATCAGAAAGACAGGTTTGGCTTCTATGCTCATCTTAATGATTGGTAGGAGAAAGGACAGACACAGAGCACCAACTAGGTTTCAAATTATTTTAAAAAATTGTAGGCATGTAGCACACACCCGATTTGGTTGCAATAACAAAATGACTAAATGAGTAGGGTGTGATGAGAACTTTTGATGTAGTTAGGTGGGGTCCAATTCCAAACAAACGTCTAGACGCCAAACCAAACAGAATTGGTTTTCCACTCAGGCAAAACTGTAATCAGAGAGCGATAGACGTATACAGGAGAAGCACAGGAGACAATTAACTTAGATTCATATCGATGTAAAGAACTTGCGTCAAAAAAAAAAGTAAAGAACTGCTCCCAAACTGGACAATTCACTATTGTAAGTTTGTAACTAAAAACATCTTACATAACTCTTATAAACAAAGCTCTCAACTGTTTGATTTTACTATATGGGAGTTACAAGAAATCTTGGTTTACTCGTGGCATGCCACATCAGCATCTGTATGAGTTCTGTACCCATAGCCTTTTTCTTTCTGGATCTAGGAATAGCTACACCCATTTAAAAATTTTATAATGTGTGAACTTTACAAAATTCTGAGAAAAATGTACACGTAGATACGTAAAACATGTTAATGTATTAGCACATACTAAAGTTGAGAAGTACTCCCTCTGTTTCACAATGTAAGTCATTCTAGCATTTCCCACATTTATATTGATGTTAATGAATCTAGACAGGGAAATGCTAGAATGACTTAGATTGTGAAACGGAGGAAGTATTTGATATTTTGAGCGATATATGTACTATAAGTACCATTTATCCTATTTGTGAACTATACAAATCGTAGTATTTCTCCACACCTTTTGTGGAAACATATTTTAGCAAGTTTGCCTCTCTTTTTTAAAAAAAAACATATATATGTAAGTGCAAATTACGTATTGGGTACGGACTGAGATCATCTACCTTTAAAGTCGTCACCGTGCCTTTGTCACTAACAATTACCTATTGGACACACATGTCACTATGTTAGTAATAAATTCATGTGACTTAAGGTAGAGGATCTGATCTAGCGCTGCAGGTAGCAGAACAAAATAGTTATCTATAGTTCCCCATCTCGTCTTCGAGTTCATCTCCAAATTTATCCCAAATTCCCCCTGTACTAATCTCCTTTACGGATACCGCAGCCGGCATCGGTGGCATCACGTGCACCACACAAAACCTCGACCATGTCGCCGCGCGAGCAGGAAGGGGAACAAGTAAAGTGGCGGCGGCGGCGGCGGCGGCGAGGGCGTACCGTTGAGGAGGTCGAGGTCGAGCTTGTCGACGTCGAGGCCGGCGGCGAAGTGGCCCTGGTTCATGTGGCCCGGCGCGTCGACGTGGGTGCCCATGTGGCACTCCATCTTGAGCTCCGACAGGTTGTAGAGCGTCCCGTTCGCCATGGAGTCCCTGAGCCGCACCACCGGCCCCGTCACCGCCCCCGGCGCGAACGCCGGCAGGTCCGCCCGGTACGCGTGGGTGATGTCCAGGATCCGCCCGCCGCCGTACTCCTCCATCCTCCCCGCCGCCGCCGCCGCCGCCGGGACCCCGCAGGTGTCCTCCGCGCCGTCGTACCCCGGGTGCGCGTCGCTCCCCGCCGCCGGGAGCGCGTGGCGCGCCGCGGCGACGGCGAGGACGAGGAGGAGGAGCGCAAGCCGAGATGCCGCCATGGCGCGCCGCTGAGCTCTCACCTCTCACTCTAAACTTGAGCTGAGCTGCCTTTGCTAGTTGCTACTACTGTTTGGTCTTAACTTGGCTACCAATCTATTTATAAGTGAATTTTTTTAAATAAAAAAATGTAAGAACTCACTTGAGCAATCTGTTTTTTTAAAAAAAAAACACTAGGGTTTCTATTTGTAAGAGTTTCTTTCAGCTTGGAAATTTCAAGCAAGAAAAGTTAAAAGTATTCATGTGACAGCAACTGTGACGTACTCCATGGTCAAGCAGTAGATAAGCTATTAAGAGCAAGTTTAATAATATAGCCCAATACTAACTCCAAATCATTTATAGCTAATGTAATAACCAATTCATACAATTGTTTACTATACTATTAATACCTAATCTTACCTGTCATACACACATTACGTCTTGGAGTCCGTGCTGCAGCTGGCTACAGATCTATAGCCCGCTACTTTTCTCTATTTTTCTTTATCTTTTTAAAATATGTTTATAGCTGGTTTATAGCCTGCTATTGTACCTGCTCTACCATTGTTGAGATAAGGGATTAGTATTCGCCGTCCAGTGCAGCTTACTGTAAAGCATCAGGTTTAGTCTTCTTCAGATAGAAAATATCGATGCCATCCATGAACAACAAGTCAAAAGTGTAGTTATTTCAACAGCAAAAAATGTCTACAAAAAGATTCAGAATCTCATCCAAGTAGTCAACAAAAGGAAATATGTATCAAATATGAACCATTCATCAACTTACAGTTACTGATGCCAATGTTCATGGGCATGATGATAAATTAATCTTTTGGTTAAGGTTTGCTTTCATCTTAACTCTTAAGATATTTTGGTTTAGATTCTGATGATTTGATGGTGGTGATAATTAATTACAGTACTTAGTGGGGAGAGCGGCATGAGGCCGTGCAACCACGAGGAGGGGAAGCCGGCGTCGCGTGGTGAGCCCGGAGCTCTCCGCCATGTCGAGCTCGTCGGCGGCCATGCCGCCGGGGAGGCTCCAGTCGAAGTGGAACAGCAGCGCGGCGAGCGCGAGCTCGACGTGCACCAGCCCGAACGCCATGCCGGGGCACATCCGCCGGCCGGCGCCGAACGGGATGAGCTCGAAGTCCGCCCCCCTGAAGTCCCTCTCGCACCGCTCGAACCTCTCCGGCGAGAACTCCTCCGCCGCGCCGCCCCACGCCGCCGTGTCCCGGCCGATCGCCCACGCGTTCACGAGCACCGTGGCGCCCGCCGGCACGTCGTGGCCGAGCACCAGCACCTCGCGCGGGCTGTCGCACCGGCGCGGCGCCAGCAGCGGCGCCGGCGGGTGCAGCCGGAGCGTCTCCTTGACGACGAGCTTGAGGTAGCTGAGGTTGGGTAGGATGTCCTCGGTCACCGTGTCGTGGCCGGCGGCGCCGGCGGCGAGGGCTCGCCGGACCTCGTCCTGCGCCTTACGCATGGCGCTCGGGCTCCGCATCAGCTCCGCCATCACCCACTCCAGCGTAGTCGACGACGTCTCGCTGGCGGCGCCAAATATGTCCTGTGAAAGAAGCGAGGGAGAAAAATGGTGGAGACATCTTTGGCGCGCGCGTCGAGCTTTCGGTGTTCGGCCATGGCGGCGTCGAGCTTACCATCATGACGGTTTTGATGTTCTCGGTGGTGAGAGGATACTGCGCGCCCACTTCCTTCTGCAGCCTGAGGAGGACGTCGACCAAGTCCTCGTCGTCGTCGTCGTCGTCGTCACCGGCGGCGTCGGCGGCGGCTCTCCTCTCCTGGTGCTCGTGGATGATGCTGTCCATGATCCGGCGCATGCGGCGGCGGTAGCGCATGATCCGGCCGGGAGCGCGGCTGACGAGCATGGCGAGGCGCGACGACGGGAAGAGGTCCGGGAGGCTCATCCCGGGCATGATGGTGAACAGCTCGTCGAGCATCCGGAGGAACGCGTCGCGGTCCTTGAGCCGGCGGCTGCCGATGATGGCGCGCACCGTGGAGTCGGCGACGTAGGTGGACATCATCGCCGTGAGGTTCACCGCCGTCCCGGCCGCCGCCGCCGCGTCGACGGCGCGGAGGAGGCGGCCGAGCTCGTCCTCGCGGACGGGGCGGAACGACTGGACGCGGCGGTGGCTGAGGAGCTCCTGGGTGCAGACGCGCCGCAGCCGGCGCCACGCCTCGCCGTAGGGCGCGAACACGAGGCCGTCGGCGCCCTGGAACCAGAGCCGCGACATGGGCCCGACCGGCCGCGACGCGAACGCAACGTCGTGCGTCCTCATGATCTCCCGCGCCGCGTCCGGCGACGACGCCACGACGGCCTCCACCTCGCCGAGCCGGAGCAGCATGAGCGGGCCGTGCCGCCGCGCCAGGTCGCGCATGGCGCGGTGCGGCGGGAGCCCGCCGGCGAGGTGGTGCAGGTGGCCGACCACCGGCAGCGCCCACGGCCCCGGCGGCAGCCGCGTCCTCGCCGCCGTGCGCCGCTCGGAGCCGAGCAAGATGAGCAATGGCACGGCAACGAGACCTACGAGGAGCAGATAGAACGCGAGTTCGCCGGCCATGGCAGCTCACGCGATCGACACGGCTCGGATGTCTGGGAGAACGCGACATGGACGAACAGGTTTGCGTTCTACAAGTACGAAGCCCTGCACGGATGTGCACATGTTCTGCGTGCGCTGTGTCCGTGCATCTCACGTCAAAACCACACTGGACACAACTTATTCATGCCTCTTTCAAAATGCGGAAACCGAACTGATTATACTTGATTACTGATTAGTGCAAAACGTTTTATAGGTTTCAGAGAGAACATTAACATTGGAGAATATACTGATGCACCACCCAAGAGGAAAATTAGAGGATAATGAGCCCAAATGAACCAAGTTATCTGCCCCCTAGTTATAGAAGATTGAACAAGTAATGACATACATAGAAATTGTATATCTGGAGAGAGATTTTCATCACTTGAGGATACATCTTCTTATATCTTTTTTCATGTCACCTAAATAATTATAAAAAAAATAAAAATAAATTAATATGATATATATATCACTCCACAAACATATAATGTCAAACTCGACTTTTACCAATTATAAAAAAACAAAATTAAACTGAAACTAATATACGTACATTGGCAATTACATTTATTATAAATATATCTTACAAGTATGTTTACTCTACTGGAACCGATACACGATGGATTGGACGCACCAAGAGGTTAGACCGCCGTTGTGTTGTGACTCCAAAATCCTCTGTCATGTCTAGATCCTTTGCCGCCATCCCTTGTGGAAGCTCCCAGTCAAAGTGGTACAGAAGTGCAGAGAGAACAAGCTCAACATGCGCCATCCCGAATGTGATGCCAGGGCATATCCTTCGTCCAGCTCCAAACGGTATGAACTCGAAGTCCATTCCCTTGAAATCCCTCCCGTTGTGTTCAAACCTCTCAGGCACGAACTCCTCAGGCTTATCCCAATACGTCAGGTCCCTACCAATCGCCCACGCGTTCACGATCACCATGACCCCCTCAGGTACGTCAAATCCAAGTATCTTGCACGTGCTTCCGCATTTGCGTGGCAGTAGCAATGGCGCGGGTGGGTGTAGCCGGAGTGTCTCCTTGATGACTAGTCGTAGGTAGGGTAGGTTGGTCAAGTTTGGCTCTGTCACCTTGTCATGCCCGGCGAGTGCTCGCCGGACCTCATCTTGTGCCTTCTGCATGACCCTTGGGTTTCGCATCAGCTCCGCCATCGTCCACTGCAGCACCGTCGCCGACGACTCGCTGCCGGCGCCGAACATGTCCTAGGATCATGAAACATGGGAAGTGATCCATGATCAGGGACTCTGCAAGTAACACGAAGGTTTTTGAGATAGAGAGAGGGAGAGCTTGATTACCAGCATGACGGTTTTGATGTTAGCCGTGGTGAGCGGGTGTTGGGAGCCCATCTCCTTTTGGAGCTTCAAGAGCACGTCGAGGAAGTCTTCGTCTTCGTCGTCGTCGTCGTTGGCGGCGGCGGCGGCGCGCTTCTCCTGGTGCTCGACGATGATGGCGTCGATGAACCGTTGCATCCCTTGGCGGTGGTGCTCGATCCGGCCGGGAACGCGGCTGAGGAACAGCGCGAGGCGGGAGGACGGGAAGAGGTCCGGCAGCGTCATCCCGGGGACGATCTTGAGCCCGTCCTGGAGCATCCGCAGGTATGCGTCGCGGTGCTCGAACCGGCTGCCGATGATGGCGCGCACCGTGGAGTCGGCGACGAAGGCGGAGATCAGCTCGGTGAGGTTGACCAGCGAGGCGGAGGAGGAAGACGAGGTGGCTTCGGCCACGGAGCGGAGGAGGCGGCCGAGCTCGGCCTCGCGGACGGGGCGGAAGGACTGGACGCGGCGGGCGCTGAGGAGCTCGGCGGTGCAGATCTTGCGGAGGTGGCGCCACCCGTCGCCGTAGGGCGCGAAGATGACGCCCTCGGCGTCCCGGCCGTACGCGAGCTGCTGCATCGGGCTCAGCGGCCGCGACGCGAACGCGGCGTCGTGGGTCCTCATGATATCGCGGGCGGCGTCCGGGGAGGAGGCGACCACGGCCTGGACCTCGCCGAGGCGGAGCAGCATGAGCGCGCCGTGGCGCCGCGCCAGGGCGCTCAGGGCGCGGTGCGGGAGGTCGCCGGCGAGGTGGTGCAGGTGGCCGATGACAGGCAGCGCCCACGGCCCCGGCGGGAGCCTCCCCTCGCCGCCGCCGCCGCCGCCACGACGCTGCGCCGAGCGCTTGATGGTGAAGAACAGGAGCGGGATGGTGGCAAGGAGCAGCACGACCAGCGGCATGGCGCCGCCGGCCATGGCTGCCTCAATCATTGTTTGGCTTTGAGGGGGGAAAGTGTTTGGGGGTTTGGTAATTGGTAGCGTGTCGTAATCTTTCGCGCCATGTGAATATGTGATGATGTGAACTGCGATTTTGACTAATGACGGTAATCAAGGAGACCATTTGACTACTGCTCACATGAAATTGGCTGTGTTTAGTTGCTGGGCCAAATCTTTTTAAGTATTCGTACACACATTTAAAATATTAAATATAGTTTAATAACAAAACAAAATACAGATTTCGCTTGTAAACTGCAGGACGAATTTATTAAGTTTAATTAATCTGTTATTATTAAATGTTTACTGTATCATCACATTGTCAAATCATGGTATATTTAGGCTCAAAAGATTCGTCTCACAATTTACATGCAAACTATGCAATTGATTTTTTTCTTCTATGTTTAATGCTCCATACATGTGTCCAACATTCGATGTGACCTTTTTAGAAAAAAAATAATCTAAAGACGGCCATTATCGGTAAATTCTGCCATTAATTGCGATTACTCATATTGGCTTAGATAAGATAACACCAGCTGTCTACTGCGCTGGCACGGGGACACGGGGCACGGCGAACACCAGTAGGTCCGAACGGCGGCGCACCGTGATCCCGGCCGCCTCCGTCATGTCCATCTCGCCGGCGGCCATCCCTCCCGGCAGCCTCCAGTCGAAGTGGAACAGCAGCGCGGCGAGCGCGAGCTCGACGTGCGCCAGCCCGAACGCCATGCCGGGGCAGATCCTCCTCCCGGCGCCGAACGGGATGAGCTCGAAGTCCGCCCCCCTGAAGTCCCTCTCGCACCGCTCGAACCTCTCCGGCGAGAACTCCTCCGCCGCGGCGCCCCACGCCGCCGCGTCCCGGCCGATCGCCCACGCGTTCACGAGCACCATCGTGCCGGCCGGCACGTCGTAGCCGAACACCTTGCACGCGCCGCCGCACTCCCGCGGCAGGAGCAGCGGCGCCGGCGGGTGGAGCCGGAGCGTCTCCTTGATGACCAGCCGGAGGTAGTGGAGGCTCGGGAGGGTGTCCTCGGTTACCCTGTCGTTGCCGGCGACGGCGAGCTCTCGCCGCACCTCGTCCTGCGCCCGGCGCATCACCGCCGGGTTACGCATCAGCTCCGCCATCGCCCACTGCAGCGTCGTCGCTGACGTCTCGCTGCCCGCGCCGAACATGTCCTGGATTCGAGCGAATTACATGAAGAGGATTTCGTTTTTGACGAGGGGGAAGTAGCCGGAGTTCGGGGAGGAGAGCTTACGATCAAGATGGATTTGATGTTCATGGTGGTGAGGGGATACTGGGAGTCCATGTCTTTCTGGAGCCTCAAGAGCACGTCGAGAAGGTCCTCGTCTTCGGCGGCGGCTCTGCTCTCCTGGTGTTCCTGGATGATGGTGTCGATGAAGCCCATCATGCCGCGGCGGCGGCGCTCGATCTTGGCGGGCACGCGGCTGAGGAGCATGGCGAGGCGCGACGAGGGGAACAGGTCCGGCAAGCTCATCCCCGGCATGATCTTGAGCCCGTCCTCCACTAGCCGCAGGAACGTGTCGCGGTGCCTGCTCCGGCTGCCGATGATGGCGCGCACCGTGGAGTCCGCGACGAAGGCGGAGATCATCCCGGTGAGGTTCACCGGCGAGGACGACGACGACGCGGCCTGATCCGCCACGGCGCGGAGGAGGCGGCCGAGCTCGTCCGCGCGGACGGGGCGGAAGGAGTGGACGCGGCGGTGGCTGAGGAGCTCGACGGTGCAGATCTTGCGGAGCTGCCTCCACCCGTCGCCGTAGGGCGCGAAGATCACGCCCTCGGCGCCCTGGAACACGAGCCGCAGCATCGGCCCGATCGGCCGCGACGCGAACGCGACGTCGTGCGTCCTCATGATCTCGCGGGCGGCGTCCGGCGAGGAGGCCACCACCACGGGGAGCTCGCAGAAGCGGAGCAGCATGAGCGGGCCGTGGCGCCGCGCCATGTCGCGCATGGCGCGGTGCGTGGGCGCGCCGGCGAGGGCGAGGTGGTGCAGGTGGCCGATCACCGGCAGCGCCCACGGCCCCGGCGGCAGCCGCAGCCTCCCCGACCTCCGCGACGACGACGCCGCGAGGTAGAGGAGCGGTACGACGAGAAGCGGCAGGAGCAGCAAGTACTCAGTGAGCTCGGTGGCCATGGCCGAATCGAACAGCTAGTCAACTGTTGACTGACTCCTCGTCATCTTCCTCGGGAGATTTTATAGTGGCAGAGCCGGGTGGTGGCTCACCCAACGACTAACCCACAAATTCACTTATATATCGGATTATCAATTTATTCGATGTATAAAAAGATTATTCACTGATGAACATAAGTGGCTAACCCGCAAATCCACTTATGTATGAGGTTATCAATTTATACGACCTATAAAAAGATTATTCGCTGGTGTAGTAAAACCTTAATGTTTAAAAAAAAACTGAAAATGGATAATAAACATTCAAACTTGTTAGGCTGCCTTCGGCAGCCGGAGAGAGAGAGTTTGTTTCGTTTTCCGCACACACGTTTCCTGAACTACTAAACGGTGTGTTTTTTTAAAAAAAATGAATTTTGCTTTAAAAAATCTTATTAACCTATTTTTAAAGTTTAAAATAATTAATACTCAATTAATCATGTGCTAATGGCTCACCTCATTTTGCGTATTTTCTCAATCTTCTCTTTTCCCCTCCTGTGGTTTTAAAAATACTCTCTTCGTTTCAGGTTATAAGACGTTTTAACTTTAGTCAAAGTCAAACTGTTTTAAGTTTGGCTAAGTTTATAGATAAATATAGTAATATTTACGATACTAACTTAGTTTCATCAAATCAATAATTGAATATATTTTTATAATAAATTTATCTTGGGTTTAAAATGTTACTACTTTTTGCTATAAATTTAGTTAAACTTAAAGTAGTTTGATTGTGAGCCAAGTCAAAAACCTCTTTTAAACTGAAATGGAGCGAGTACATAGCTATGCTACTGTTGGAGGATAGCATATGTCTCTGTCGCTCGGCCCGCGCTTGTTGGTGAACACACAGCATAACTAAATATCCAATCTAGTTAAATTTGTGGGGGCTTTGCTCTAGTATCTGTTTGCTGTTGTCGCTGTTCGTGTGTTTCGGTCGGTGCAATGGCGCCTGCCTCACACTGACCTTCACCGCATCAGATAAAACCTGTGGGTGGTTGCGGCCGGCACATGCAACCCTACGGTGTAGACATCATCTAGCCGCCGCCGGCATAATATATCCTGATGCTGTATAATACAAATGGAAATTGAGCTGAAGATTTTGGTAGCTAATTACGGGTTTTTCAGATATGATTTTCATCTTAGCAAATTTTGCTCAACGGCAAACAAGGTAAGTGACACACTGATGCTGGTTTGCAACTCCTGCGCCCACATACCAGGCGAACACCGCTCAACAATAATATTACTCCATCTGTCCCTAAATATTTGATGCCGTTGACTTTTTTAAATATATTTGACTATTCGTCTTATTCAAAAACTTTTGTGAAATATGTAAAACTATATGTATATATAAAAGTATATTTAACAATAAATCAAATGATAGGAAAAGAATTAATAATTACCTAAACTTTTTAATAAAACTAACAGTTAAACATCTTTAAAAAAGTCAACGGCATCAAATATTTAGGGACAGATGGAGTACAAATTAATATTACACGAGTTGAAAAATAATTGAAGTCAGAAGTAAAATTAACATCATGTGGATGCAAACCTCCGGATGTCCATGCCATCCTCATTTGATTGGTTGCTAAGTTTCCAAATAATTCATGTCAACGGGTTTAACTGAACAATTCCCATTTTCTTTAGCAAAGAAGTAATGAACAATAATATTCCATATAAGAAATTACTCATGCCCAAAGAATTGTCAAATACTGACGCACCATACATATTACATTTGCAAACATTCGTATTGTACAGTTTCATGCTCATCGATATGCCCGTTGTGCGCCTGGGATGTGAAAGCCAATTCATCTCAAATAAAAGCACAAAAAAGACCATCCCTCTGAAACATAAATGTCTTCCGAAGCACATACCTAACAGCAAATTGAGAAAATCCTTTGCTCTCGCAATTACCATATTCAACTCAAAAAATTGCCCTTCGATGAAAGGAGGCGCAAAGCTTTGTTCGCGTTCTTTAAAACTGCATTGGATCTTGGCACCTGGTTTTTCCTTTGCTCCAGGAAAGCAAGGGCATTCTTCACATGCTGTGTCGAGCGAACGTCTTTCAACAGAATTGTTTCAGGCCTGACAAACATTGGCAAAAGAACTAGCATAAGTAACATTTCCACATAATTCATATGAGACTGCAAGACATGAAAAAAGTACCCGGAAGATTTCAACCGCTTCTTCCTTTTCTGAACCTTCTGATTTGTTATCTCTTCCTCGGAGTCAGATGAGAAGGTTTGCCTGAAGGAGAAAAGGACGACAGTAACCAATTAAGTCCGCAAAATTGAAAAAAAAAAAACAAAAAAAAACTGAATACGGTGCAAGGGAAGTACACATACTTCTCACGTGCTGCAAGCATTTCGATAACATTGGTAGGGAGCATGCCAGGCATAGTATGGGTCTCCTCGCTCTCCTCATCTTCTTCATTCTCTGCCTTCTGTTTGATGTCTTTATCTTCTACCTCCAGAGGCTCCTTTTTATCTGGTTTTGAGGATGTTCTTCGTTGGGCCCACCTTCTCCTCCGCTCTTTCTCCTGCTGCGATACTCTGAGATTACATGACTATGTTAGGTCAGAGAAGCTACAGCTTACAATTAGCAGAAACAGTGACACCACCGTGATGCTCACAAAATCATTTGGGATCCAGATAGGCAGTTCCCATGGATCATGGATGTTACAACGGGAAAGCAAAACATCAATTATAATGCTCATATTTTCAGGTTGCTGCAGAGAACAGTATGTGCTATGTACATGTGGAACCACAAACATTGAAAGACCACCTAGAAGCATGTATGGACAGTTTACATCTAGGCATAAGTGGTGTATAATCATCGAGAATAACATACTTTTAGTTTTAGTTCTAAAACAAAACAAAACCTCAGTTGTAGTACCATCTTCTGAGACTGACAAGCAAACAAGCAGAAATTAAGACAAGATACAAATTGATATATATCACAAACACAAACACAGATCATCTCCATAGAATAGAAGTATCAATCACCTAAATAATCATGTAGCTAACTAAAACAACACAAATCAAAATAAGGGAAGCACAATCAGCAGAGTGCTTATCCATCCAATCATCAAGCCTAGCATACACGCAAGGAACAAAGGGATAAAGGGGCACACACCTGATGGCACTGTCCTTCTCAACTTTACTGATCTCGTCGTGCTTCTCAACCCCCTACGAAGCATCAACAGCGAGCAACGGTCAGCACGAACTCCAAGATCTCCAAGACGAGGCATCGCGAAGGTGAGATCGAAGTAAACATCCAACAACCCTAGCTCTAGCTCACTACTAAACTAGTACTTGTGCTTCTCAGCTCTCGCGGGCGCAGCAAACGAGGTGCTATCCATGATCCATCCAGCGCATGGCAGCACGACGCACACGAAGCCTCGCTCGGATACAGGGGTTAGCTGAGCTCTAGCTCGCGCGACGGCCGTCGTCCTCGGCTTCCTCTCGTAGGCAGGAGGGGCGTACCTGGACGGCGGTGAGCTCCTCGGGGGCGCTGTCAGATTCGCTCCCGCTGTCCATGTTCGACGGCGTGGTGCCACTCGCCGCAGGGGAGCTCCTCATTGTGCGGTGGTGTCCGCCGCCGCCGTGGAGGAGAGGGGATGCAGGTGGGGAGAGGGTTTGAGGCGGCGAGGCGGGGTGAGGACGAGACGAGGCAGATGAAGTTGGGCTTTGCTGCTTCTCTCCTCCTCCTTGGACACGCAGATTTGGGCCTCGTGATGGGCCAGTATTTGCGTGGGCCATTTCCTTCTAAACAAGCCCAAGAGTCCTATCTGGAGAGTGAAACCAAATTTGAAAAATAAATATGGACAAATAGGAGTGCACATATACTATGTATACGTCTAAGAAAAATATGTTACTCCGAGAAGTGAGAGTAGCTTCCTAGACTTGAACGTTGACAGCGAAACACCCGTGATGACTTCGTCAATCTCAATATATACTGTCCTAGTTTTTCGGAGGTGCTCATATGTGTAGGGACGTAGGGTGTGTTGTAAAAGCTTGCATTTTAATTGTGTTTTGAAAAAAAAAAGTTAGGCCATAAGGTATGACATTTATATGTTTTTTTTTCAACCATGAACTTGCGCCATTTTAAGTGATTTAGGTTTAAAATTGTGGTGTTCTGGTCGTTGGGCTTTTCTTTGGTTCATTCATATACGTGGAGCCCAACTCTTTTCCATGCCAACCGGTCCAAAATCTCTACTTTAATTCATGATTCACAATGAAGTTGCCCAACTCAAATAGTTTAGAGCGGTTCGAATTTTCGATTACATAAACAGTGTTTGAATTGGACCAGATCGAGCGAAGCACCGGTTCAGTTTTCTTTTTCGGGTTAAAGCAATGGTCCAATTTGGCTTTCTTTTTCAACTATAATTGATGGTAGTGGATTAAATTAGTTTGATGATCATCTTTTAAAAAAATTAGTGTGATGAGGGCAGGCAGAGGTGAGAACAGGTCAATTGGGGCCAAAGCCATGGCCATTGGATGATGACATTACAAAATTCCTGCAGAACATCTTACCATCTGCTTTGCTTTGGGATTGCTTGAGACTTTTGCAAGCACAAAGATACAAAGCCATGATTGAAGCGTGCCAATCACCGGTGCTTATTAAAGTGATGGGTCACTATGCTCCATAATACACTACTCCACTCCATAGTGGCTGGCTAGCTAACCTCAATGAGACCAACAGGAGTCCTGTTCTGGCCTTCTGGGGCTACCAGCTGTGATGGCATTCACTTGTGGATTTTGTGAGGGGCATTTGTCTCTTTCCATTCTTATCTTATTGTTTGGTATTGCATCTTTGTCTTCCCTTCTCTGGGTATGTATATATGGGCAAATCCCATAATAAAATAGTAGGCAATAATTAGTCCCTTGGTACGTTGAAATTTTCACAATTTGACCCTTTGCAAAAACTTTTTTTACATATGAACTGCTGTCAAAACTTATTTCAAATTTGACTCTTTTGGTCAGCGCTAAATCACCTGGCGCTGAACTTAGACACCTCAGCGCCATGTCAACTGGCGTTGAATACCGTGCCACCGCGGATGGGTGACTAAGTCGGCTTGCCAACGCATATTCAGCGCCACGCTATTTAGCACTGAGATGTCTTAGTTCAACGCCAAGGGTTATTTTTGAAATAAGTTTTGGTGACGGTTTATTTGTAAAATAGTTTTTGCAAAGGGTCAAATTGTGAAAATTTTTGCTTGGTACGCATGGATGGTTTTTATACAGTATGATAACACAAAGTAAAATGCCTTCATTGAGCAGTCTCTCTAACTTTTGCGCCCTTGTTTGAGATCAAATTATAAATGCTCCTTCGAAACGTATGAATTTTACAGCAAACGGTTCAATTCTTCTAAAATTTTGGCCCACAAAATTCCTCAAATCTGAATAGGTCCTAAATATCAACGCACATTCTGCATACGCCATAGCTGGATATGCCACTGTCCTTTTACTAGCATTGGCTTGTTTGACTTGTTGAAAACAACACGTCGGTCTAAATTTGCAAAGCCAAAGTGTCCTATATATTTTACCCCGCCGGCCTCCATCCCCTCAAAATAAGTTCATTTTTCACCCATATCCCACGCTTAGCAATACAAAAGCAAAAAGAATAAATTATACCAACTTTATTAAATTCCATTGTAATTGTCTCCTACTTTATTTAGTTCGAATGCAATTATTCTCTATTTTTATAAACTTCGATACCATGATTGTTAAAAGTTAATTTTTTAAGGAAAAAAGAGGACAAAATGTTCTTATTTTAAAACGGAGCAAGTAATACCAAATCGGTCGTGGTATAAACACCAACATATAATCATCGAGTGTGTGATAGTGATACCAAATCGGTCGTGGTCATCAAGTTGTGGCGCACTAAAAATTCACGTACTAAATGAGACAAACCAAGACAACAGGAGTACTAACAGTAGAACGCCTGAAATATTCAAAGTACTCAAATGAATTGGTCAAAAACTACGGCCCTGTTTAGATCCCACCCTAAAATTTTTCACTCCGTCACATCGAACGTTTGAATACCTATATAAAGTATTAAATATAAGCTAAAAATTTAACTAATTGCACATATTGTGACTAATTTGCAAGACGAATCTTTTGAGTCTAATTGCTCTATGATTTGACAATGTGGTGCTACAGTAAACATTTGGTAATGACGGATTAATTAGGCTTAATAAATTATGTACTGACGGATTCTATAATTAGTTTTTTTATTAGTGCCGAACACTCTATGAAACAACCTATATAATACCCAATGTGACACGTCAAATCTTTACACCCTGATATAAACACCCCTATAGCTCTTTAATAGTCTCATTAGTGCATTAGTTTAGTAATTTAGTAAAATCTATTCCCTGTACTACAAAACGCATTAAAAAACCACAAGAAAAACCACATTAACTTGCACACTCCTACTTCGTACTCCCTCCGTCTAAAAAAGACAAACTCTGGTTTCCGTGTCCAACGTTTGACCGTTCGTCTTATTTGAAAAAATTAGAAAAAAAATTAAAAAGACAAGTCACGCATAAAATATTAATCATGTTTTATTATCTAACAACAATGAAAATATGAATTATAAAAAAAATTCATATAAGATAGATAGTCAAAGTTGGACACAGAAATCTAAAGTTTGCCTTTTTTTTTTTTTCGAGACGGAGAGAGTAATGCAGAAGCAGCAGAACGACATGTTTACTGGGACGATGGGACGATCGCCAGAACGACGCGTTTCCTGGGACAGAGGAAGTACTACAAACCTCAGCAAAAGTCTCACCCACAGGCCACAGGAATCTTCCTTTGGTCAAACGTAGCCATCCCACCAACAGCCGAGGGCCCCACCCCTTCAAGCTGCCAGGTCATCATCGCCCCCGGTGGTGGCCCCCGCACGTCAGCCACTCCAGTACCCCACCCCGACCCCGACCCCTCACCCGCCGCGTGACGTTACCGCCCACACCCCAAACCCGACCGTTACCTCACCGGGTTCAAAACGGCCCACTCGCCGCCCGCCACGTGTCCGACCCGCACCCCGCCCGGTCGGTCCCCACGTGGGTGAGCTGACCGCGCCCCCGAGCTTGCCTTTGCGTGCGCCGCGCGGTGACGAGACGACGCGAGTAGTGCGAGGTGGAGAAGACGAGCCGACACCACCACCACCACCACCACCACGAGAGGAGGAAGCCGCGGGTCTCCTCGTCTTCTCCTCTCTCTCTCTCCTCAACCAGCTGTCTCGCGGTCGCCGGCGGCGGTGAGGGGAGGAAGCGGGGCTGCCTCGCGCGGCGGGAGGTCTCCGGAGAGGGAGGGGTGTCGTGCTGATTTGGGGGGCTGCGGCGGTGTCGGCGGCGATGGGGTGGGCTTCCTGCTGCAAGGGGGTGGACGGGTGAGTGCATATCTGGCGATTTGAGGATTGATTCGTGTGTGCTGTTTGCCTGTTTGGTGTGTTTTTTTTTTTTTTTGGGGGGGGGGGGGGGGGGAGAGGGGAGATTTGCTCATTTGGGTGGGTTATGACTTACGAGGGTGGGGGTGGTTTTGACTTGTTGGGTGGAATCGTCGGTAAACATTTGCAATTTTGTTTGTGATTAGTTCTGTTGGTGGATTCGATGGGTTTGCTCAAAACAGATTACTCGATTGATTAGCTAAGAAGAACTTTTTTTTTCTGGGGAGAATTTTTTCTGCTGGGAGCTGAGAAGTGTCTTGAAGCAGAAAATGGTTTTTGTTTGGGGAAATGGTGAGTTGCTGATCAAGTTTTGTGGTTTTGTGTGTGATTTGCTGATTAATCATGCGAGCATACAACACCGCAACATTCACCTGTTTTCATTGGATGGATGAACCAAATGATGCGTGGAATTTTCTCTGCTTGTATTGGGGAATTTTTCTGTTCGCTCTCGGATTGCAGTTGTTGGTCAGCAAGCTGAAATAGAATGACATAGTGGAAACTTATATCTAATTAATCCGTTAAAAATGTGCCAATTCTTTTTTTTGGGAAGAAGAGTCCGTACTTGAGAGTTTGAAGAGGAAATGAAGCTCGTTTGTTGATCTGTTTGCTTGTTCTATACTCAGGGTTCTACCTGGCCGGAGGAAGAAGAAGAAGGAGACGACATGGCGGATCTTCTCGCTGAAGGAGCTACAGTCAGCGACGAACAATTTCAACTATGACAACAAGCTTGGTGAGGGTGGGTTTGGCAGCGTCTACTGGGGCCAGCTCTGGGATGGATCACAGGTGAGGTGTTCCTCTTTCAATCTTGAAAAAGAAAAAAAGAACAGGAAGAAATCTGAGAATCATGCAGTCCACACTGCACAAACTTTAGTTTGTTGTCTTCTTTTTTTTTTCTAATTGATTAGAAAAATGGCAAAGCATTGGAGGGACCCAGTGATGTTGATGATTGTTGTTTAACTGACATCCACTTCTAGCGTTGTTCATGGTCTAGTGGTAACCTTGTAATTTTTTCCTGCTATATCAATAGAAACTTTTTTGTCTTGTGTAGGTCGTCTTGAAAAAAAAAAGTCTAGTGGTATTAATTAGCAGTATAAAATGGTTGCCGTTTTTTAAAAGCTACCTTCAGATATTCTTTGAACATGATGGCCATCCAAACTGGACCTGCGTGCGGTTTAAGGCCGTGTCTAATGGGGATTTGGTCTGAGTAGACAACTGACTTATTCTTAGCTTCAGTTATCAATTTTTTTCGCTTATACCAATAGTCTTGTCAAGGATTGCATGATTACAAGCTAGAAAAAATCATAATTGGAAGGTATGAACACAA